CGGCGGAACCCGTTGAACTCGATGGTATCATGTAGATTTGAATGTCTGAAAAGAGCTGAGGCCAGATCTTTGCGACTAAATCCATCAAGTCCACTGCGCGCTTATAGGTAAGTAGTCGGCCTGCGACATGAACAAAGTCTGACCAGTATGTCGTTGACATCATGCTATCTTCGCGCGCCAGGCGACGCCTGACATCGACGAAGATATGGGACTTGAAGAAGTTGCTTAAAGAAGTAATCAAGTCACATACACCAAAGCAATTTACTTGAATAAATAACCATTAGACGAGCAGTTGACTCTGGGTAAAGCGGTTTAAACACTCACCTGGTTCAGAGTGACATGTGTCAAAACAGGCTTCTAAAAGGCGTTGGATTTGGGACATTTCATTTTGAGTCGATTTACCTAAGACTTGTCAGCTCCATTTGGAAGCCGTCAACACAATATACATAACCTACTTTCCTGGGTGCTTCCACGCTCACAGGCTTCAATACACTCTCGCAGGTGGACTTGTAGCGATTTCAAGTATCCATTTACCCGACTTTTGCACAACTCAAGCGATGCGTGTAGGGCCTGAGTTCGAATGTTTCCTCTTTCCGCACAATGTTCTGGTGGAACTGCAGAGAACATATGCAGAATAGAAGCTATGCTAGCTTGGATCTTTTCACGTTTCGTTGAACTTTGCTGGTTGAAACCAATCACATACTGAATACGATCGGGCAGCTGTAACACAGCACAAGCAGATATTGCTCCGCCGCCAACCTCGGTGCAACAAAGGAATGCAATTTTGGAAGAAAATGCTCGGAAAAGCGGCTCTAAACCTGTTAAAGCATCGAATTCTGGGTCCTCTCCTAGTCTTCGTCGTGGACACATGGATGTCAAGCCGATTAATAACAAAAGGGGAGGATAGAAACGTCTGACTAACGCCCGCTCTGGAGCGACCAGAACCGGTTGCTGAATTCCTTTCGACTCTAATAATAAGTCAAAGTACTACGATAACAGCTTTGCTAGATACTCACCCATATTCGCAAGTACCTTACTAGGCAAGTGTTACTTGATGAAAGTAGTTTAGGCAGAGAGGGTGAGTGCCTATTGAGAGCTAAATTTATGATGGCGTTGTGGTTCGAAGTTGGCGAAATGTGTAGAAACAAGGTATGCCATTTCAGTAGAACCATCAGGGATTTCACGCCGAGCAGCGTGGCAGGCCTCAGACATATTGCGGCTTGAAAATCCATTGCTGATTGGGCGACGAGCGAACTGTCGGATGTAAACACGTCATTCTCATAGCTAAATTGGTATGCCTCTTGCATATTGACCAATGGGATCATGCGTTGATACCCTGTCACTGAAGTCGCGAACAAGATTGTATCATCGATGCCCTGTCGCTTGCAACAGTCCAATGAAATTGACCTTCATAAACATTAGCACAATTCGAGTCTGCAGGATGAGATCAGTACGAGTCTGGAGCTGAAAGTCTGCTCCTCCAGCTATTTTTCTTTTTACCTATGAATTCCGTACACCTCGATTTTCTACAACAAAAATATTTCTGAAAAGAAACGTTGCAAGTTTATAAGTATATGACACTGTTGTCTTCATCCGTTTCCGTACTAGATCGGCTGGACTAATGGTCTGACGCAGCCCGACAGAAACATATTCCCTCAGTTGGTTCTCACTACGTCCCTGGAATGCTTGTTATTGAGTGTCACAAAAGGGAAAGATGGAAGATCGCTCAACTATTGCCAGGGGGGAAATGGCTCAATTCGTATCGTTGCGTGAACTTGAGCTCCATCCAACAGTCGACACAGCTGCTCTACCCAACCATACCGACACTTCTGATCAAAGCGACGAGCATTAGTCTCCAACCGCTGTGCCAAATAGACCAGATTTATCTGGCATTGGATCTTATGATCAGATTCTACCGGATGAGCACAACATGGCCATGGCCAATTCGGTCAACGGAGCGTTGGGTAGGGGCAACGAAGAGCGGCGACAATCTCCACAGCTCTTCCATGAAAATGAACTGCCTCCAACTCACAATTATGTCCACGATGGTAAACTTACAGGATACTTTTGTAAGCATCCAGAATGTAAGACTCCTCAAAAGACATACAAACTAGTAAGTCGTGTGACGTGAGTCAAACTATTCAGTCTCTCACGAGTGGAAGTTGACGTTATAGGAAACACGCCCGCAATCACTATAGGCCGGTTATATGTCCAGTTTGCCCAGAAAGAAAAGCGGAACAAGGTGATATGAAAAAGCATGTTCGAGTTTATCACCCTTCCCTTGCGACGGTTTTTGGCATCTCAGGAAAGTCTTTACCTTGTTCTATCTGCCGAAAGGTCATTTCGAACAGCAGGAGGGATAACTTCAAAAGGCATATGCGTGATTCACACGGGCTTGATGTTGACGGATAAGAACCCTGGGCGCCATTCGCACGAATTATAAAACTTCAAGGGGTTTTAGGTCTTCAGTCGTTGGGGTTAGTTCAGGATGCGGAAGCCTTAGTAGAGTAATGTAGATATTATAAGATATCGTAAATGGGAGGTTTTTGTTAAATGTTTGATATGTAGAGCTTTAACAGGCTGAAAAATAATTACGCTTAAATATGCCTCGATATATATTTTAAAAAATATTAACATGTTAGCCATGAGCATAATTCATATCAAGTTAAATTAGTATATAATGCAGGCTTAATGAAATCGCTTTAAAAGAAAGGTTACACAAGGACACTTAGGTAAGGAAAAGTCTGGTCAGGATTGCTCGCAAAACAAATTCAAGCCATTTGATGTATAAAGCAGAAGAGTCGCAGCATTAACATAACTCATGCCAATTAAGGCTTGTGCATTGAAATTTCTTATGCCATTCTTCCAGAGCCATGCAACGTGGCCCAGAAGATACATGAGTTTAGATACTAATTCGTATATATAAATCTTCTATTCTGAACAGGTGAAAGTACAGAAGTAGTCGGAACAGACTGGAGAAGCTGCCGAGTATGGAGGTGGATCGTTCTGATCTAGTTCAAATTCCTTAGCATACACAACGGCGTGATGGTGTCGTGGAACTTACATCACTGTCCTCCAAAAAGCCGCAATGTAGCAAATAAGGCATGGGTGTAGTGCTCACGCTCCCTATAATTAGCTGTTTGCTGTTCTACCATTCATTGCAGTTATTAACAGGTTGGGCCGGGGATGCTGGAACAGGGTCTATGTCTCTCCCTGGGAAGTTCTCCACAATAGGTATGGTATGTAGGTCATAGTGAGAAAGGGGATTGTGTTATTACTGGCCATACCCCCTTATAGTGTCCGTTGCTCTGACCGGAGGCAAATGGAGGTTAGCCGAGATATCAAAAATCAGGTCTGATGCTATTTAATTTTAAGGCATTAACAATGAGGCAAAGTCTCTCGACATAGATTCGGTCAGTCTTGGGCAGCTGAGGAAAGCCCGTATAAGCCTGCTTGGCCACATGGGACTTTGGTATCCAAAGGCACTATCCAATTTCAAGCCTCGCACTTTAGGCAACGGCACAAGCATCTACAGAGGTCAAGCGTATCTTTTATGATTATGGGCATTTGCTTTATCCTGTTGAGCTGTCACAGACTTTCTTGTTGGATATTTGCAATGGCCGCTGAAGCCGTTGGGCTTGCTGCCGGCGTCATCACGATCGCGGATGAGACATACAAGAGCAGCAAGCGGCTATACGAACACATAGATGGCTTTCGTACCGTCTCGAGAACGCTGAGTGACCTCCAGACAGACCTCTCGTCCCTCGTACAGCTTCTGCAATCTAATCCGTAATCTCTCAAGGACACACTGGGGAATATAGACGAGGAGAGCCTGTTAGATGAAATGAGAAAATGCTTGCAGAATATCAGTCCTTCCATGGAAGCTTGCCACAAAGTTTGTGGTGAATTCAGTGCAAAGATTACGCAGATCACATCGCATTCCACCGAGGAACGCGTCAGCTTAAGGGACAAATCTCGGCTTCAATTTGAAGAAAAGGGCTATAAAGCCTTTCAGTTTCGTCTCGCCGCCCATAAGATGATAATAGACATTGCCTTGGGCTTAGTGACTCTGTAAGTCAATGGCTACGCCAGGGCCTGGGTTGTACACAGGAGTGAAGCTAATCAGGTATGAAACCGTAGACTGTAGTACATCAACCGATCAGAATTGGCAAGCCCAGAAGAATCTCGAAACCAATATTATAACAGCGGTCTGTGGAATCTCTGGCCGAATCGAGGGTTTAGAGATAAGTCTTCGGTCGTTGTCAGCCGAGCATAACAGAGTTGCGACGGAAGTCCTGCAAGAGCACACCATAGCTCTACAACAGTGCTTGAGGGTATTCGTGAGTGCAGTAGAGACTGCACCTGCGAGTACTGGCGACACAGTTCACCGCATGGAGGGCTATAATTCAGCGAAGCAATTGGTCGCAGGTGATATCGGAAATGCTGTTGCACGGTCCTGACCAATTACCGTAGGCACAGCTTCCGCCCACTACCAGGCCCAGCAGGCATTATTTGGGAACGTTGGCGCGGATAGTATCGACGGGATAATGAAATTCTTTCAGGAGTCGGAGGAACAAGAGTAGTACTAAGTTACTTATAAATATCCTATCAGGTTAAGTAACTTATAAGTATATACTTATATAGCTGTATAAAGAAATATAGTCAAAATCACAACAAGTTCCCATGAGGAAGGCATTTCATATAGATGCCACTGTTAGCCTTCTGCGCGCATGCATTGGCATGAACTAGTGGAGTGAGGTGGTATCTAAGCAGCGATCCCATCTTATTTACCAGGCATAACAAAACGATAATCCGATCTAAAGACCTGTCGCAATGCAAATCGGCGGTAATTGTCTCATGGCGGGGCGGAGATGACAGGGTTCTTGTCGTCAGATCAGCACGTTGTAACGTTGCTGAGTTGTCAGTTCCGCCGCTTTGGTCGCCTCTTCATTTGCATCAAACTTCTGAATCGCCTCGGAATCATCAACACATATAGAAAAATGGCAGAGACTCCAGAGGAATCGTCCTCTCCGAAGGCGGCTGCTGCTGCTTCAAAACCTCCAGCTGAGGCAACCCCTGCACCTGCAGAGGAGACGACCACTGAACCACCCACTACAGAGAACCCCGCCGAGCCTGCTGAAGATTTTCATAACCCTACTCATTGGGCCAATTTGAATGCGGACGTATGTAGAACCACGTTCTCTTGGCCACGGTTATTGACAATATGTAGGATGCACCAGAAGACGACGATGCTGATTCGGCGGTCGGAGATGATGCTGCCAGTTCAACTGAGTCAATTTCTTCGAGCATCCTTCATTACCGCACGATTCACGGGAGGACGTATCACTCTGAGCGGGGAAATGCCGAGTACTGGTATGGGAGCCTTCTCAAGAGTGAGCTCTGGGGCTGACGAAGACCAGGACACCGAACGATGAGCACCATAACGAGTCTATGGATATCAAGTGAGCCAGATGTTGCCAGGGTTAGTTTTTTCAGGCCATAAGCTGACTGCCAATAGTCACCACCTCTTGTCTCTGTCGCTAGAGGGAAAACTCCATCTAGCTCCTCTGAAGGATGACATCCAGGTTCGTACACTACCTCGGGACTTTTATAACAAATTACTGACAGGGATTGTAGAAAGTCCTTGATATCGGGACCGGGACTGGTGGGGGTTATGAAGACTCTCTGCAGGCCATCAGCTAACTGAGAGGAACAGGTATTTGGGCTATGTGAGATGTTTTGGCATATGTAGGGCCTTGTTCGTGACTGACATTGGTACAGCGATTTCGCAGACGAGTATCCCAATGCCGAAGTGATCGGAACGGATATCTCTCCCATCCAACCTGACTGGGTCCCACCAAATCTGAAGTTGTAAGAAGCCTGTGAGAGATACTACCACAAACATTTTCTGACAAGACCAGCGAAATTGAAGATTGTACCCAAGAGTGGACTTACGACCCCAATTCATTCGATTACGTACACATGCGCTATATGTATGGAAGTATAAGCGACTGGTCCGCTCTGTTCAAAGAGGCATTCCGCGTCTGCAAGCCTGGCGGGTGGGTTGAGAGCTATGAAGCCTCACCTAGAATGGAAAGCGATGACGGCACTGTAACTGAAACGTGTGCTATCAACGAATGGGGCAAATTCTTCATTGAAGGCGGGAAAAAGCTAGACCGCACTTTTGAGATCATTGATAAAGATCTGCAGCAGAAGGGGATGGAGGAAGCAGGATTTGTCGACGTCAAAGTTTGGGATTTCAAGGTATGCTGCACCACGCTTTTCTTCGTATTAGTTGCTGACTTGGATCGTCTTAGGCACCTATTGGAGGTTGGCCCCAGGACCCTCGGCTGAAGCAAATTGGACAGTTTGCTCAAGCTGCGCTTGAACAGGACTATGAGGGTTATGTTTTGTATATGGCCAATATTGTTCTTGGTTGGACGAAGGAGGAAGTTTCTGTGTACTGCGCTCAGTTGCGACGCGAGATTCGGTCTAGAAAGTTCCATCCTTTCTATCGTCAGCGGGTTGTTTATGCAAGGAAGCCTGAATAATGTCGCGAATGGGAAAGTTTCTGCCTCCATGAAGGACATGTCTTATCAATTGAGAACTCGGTAATTTCATTGCGCATTGCTGCAGCAGATTTTCCAATATTTGCTGAAAGTACCCAATTTGCGTGGCCACAGCGCGTGCATTGTTCTGATTCTCAGATGCGAATAAAACATCACGACATAGAATCACATCATGATGCAACGACTTTCACGTGCATTATATCCAATGTAACTCACAAGCTTTCACAGAATTGCATCAACCTCGGGATCTGTGACAGTCTTGGCTTGCGTGTACTTATCGTTGAAGCAGCCGATATTCGTGGCCAGATCAAGTCGCGAGCTTGATCATATGACTTGGCGTTGTCAACTGCTTCGGCCAACCCTATAGCGCTTCCTTTTTTATTACAGTGGACCTTTATTTTTTTGTCGTGTTGGGGAACCTCAACAAAACGAAAAAGCACGAGCCTCTGAGTCAGGAGAGAAATAACATACCCTAGACTCGGCTGTCACATGAGACATTCAGGCTCAATACGATACACAGCCATCACAAGCTTGGCAGGGTCCAAATACGTGTTCCTCACTCGCTCCACGTGGTGATGTTGCCTCGTAAGGTAGTAAAGGCGAAGACCTGCCAGACCAGACCAGACTGGCGGTGCGTGCATGACATGACAAGGAATCACTCGTCTTGGGGATTACGACGGCAAAGAAAAGACCACTATTTCCATTTGCGGTAATAAGTGGAATGATCGCCAAGATTACGCCCCAGGCACAGGCCCGATACCGCGGTCAGACACTTGTTACAGAAGGCGGTGACAGAATCTTACGGCAGAATTGATCTAATTTTATTCCCTTTTTCAGGTGTTGAGTGCCGAAGAGTGGTGGGCAAGTGATTGAGAGCAGGTGATGGAGGGGACCTAAGCTTAAGTTTATCATCAGGTATAGTAATCGCGAGACTCCATACTTGGCCGAGTCTTGAAGCCACTGATGAACCGCGGCTTGGATCGGCGAAATTGACCCCTGAATCAATCAATCAATCACAAGGCAAGGATTATCACTGCGTCATATCGCCATAATCATCACTGACAAGGGTGCGTGCGTGGATCCTGCTGACCTAATACCTCTCCGCTCACCTCACCCCTTTTCCCCTTTCAGCTCACCTCGACTTTTTCAACGATATCGATAAATTTCCAAGCTTCGCACTACGCGTTCCCACCAACACCCTCAACTCATTGCATAAAAAAAAAGTCACATCATACGATTACATCATGCGTCAACCCATATCGACACAACCAGTCACCAATGGTGATGGAGAGGAATGGTGTACGTATCCCCAGATATACTGCTCCTGGTTGAGATTGTACTAAGATTGTTAGATCTTCCCGACAAGATGCTCGCACGTGCGTTGAACCCACGCGTAAAATAGCTGCGTACTAACAACATTTTTCAGGACATCCTAGCAAGCCTCACATTGGCAGTGAGTTATATCCCAATCTGGAAGTATTCGCCGTGCTTACAATATCTAGGCTTGGAGGAGTACCAGCAGATGCACCAGCTCTCCATCAGGGAGCCCGAAACTTTCTGGGGAAACCTAGCTCGTGAGCTTCTTACATGGGATCACGACTTTCACACCGTCAAGAGCGGCTCGCTAGTCGAGGGTAATCCAGCTTGGTTCCTTGGCGGAAAGTTGAATGCTTCATTTAACTGCGTTGATCGCCATGCGCTCAAGGATCCTAACAGGGTTGCTATCATCCATGAAACTGACGATGGCAACGGTGGTCGCTCTATCACATACGGCGAACTGCTTAAGCAAGTCAGCAAAGTCTCATGGGCTCTCAAGGACCTTGGCGTGCGAAAGGGCGATACAGTCGCTATCTACATGCCCATGATTCCTGAAGCCCTTGTCGCCATCCTTGCTTGCACCCGCATCGGCGCTGTTCATTCCGTTGTCTTTGCTGGTTTCTCAGCTGGTTCGCTGCGAGATCGCGTCGTCAACGCCAAGAGCAAGGTCGTCATCACTGCCGATGAGAGTCAGCGCGGCGGTCGAACAATCGGTATCAAGAAGATTGTTGATGAAGCGCTGAGCCCGCTTGAGGGTGTTCAGACTCTTGTTTTCAAGAGAACTGGTGCCAAGGTTGCGTGGACTGAGGGACGGGATCATTGGTGGCATGAACAAACTGCTAAGTGGCCTAGCTACATCCCTCCTGAGGCCATGGATGCTGAAGATCCTCTGTTCTTGCTGTATACCTCTGGATCAACGGGTAAGCCCAAGGGTATTTTGCATACTACTGGTGGCTTTTTGGTTGGAGCTGCTGCGACGGGAAAGTATGTGTTTGACATTCACGAGAACGATCGATATTTCTGCGCTGGCGACGTTGGTTGGATCACGGGTCACACCTATGTTGTCTACGCTCCGCTCCTTTTGGGTGTCTCTACAGTTGTGTTTGAGGGAACACCGACATTCCCTGATGTCTCTCGTTTCTGGGATATTATTGCGAACCATCAGATCACGCACTTCTATGTCGCTCCTACGGCTCTTCGCTTGTTGAAGAGAGCTGGATCTGACCCTGTCAACCATGACACTAGCAGTCTGCGTGTTCTGGGTTCAGTTGGTGAGCCCATCGCTCCTGAGATTTGGAAGTGGTACTATGATGTTATTGGAAAGGGAGAATGTCATATCGTTGATGTAAGTTGACCATGGAACGCCTTGAAGGATATTACTAACTGGAGTAGACATACTGGCAAACCGAGACTGGCTCTCACGCTGTCACCCCTCTCGCTGGTATCACACCTACCAAGCCTGGATCCGCTTGCCTGCCATTCTTCGGCATCGACGCAGTCTTGATCGACCCTGTTTCTGGCGCTGAGATCCACGGCAATGGAGTCGAAGGTGTTCTTGCTTTCAAGACCTCATGGCCTAGCATGGCTCGAACTGTCTACGGTGACCACCAGAGATTCGAGGAGACATACCTCAAGGTGTACCCGGGATACTACGTGAGTATTCCACCAAGCTGAATCAATTGAGTAATTACTGATCATTCTGTAGTTCACTGGCGATGGAGCTGCCCGCGATCAAGACGGCTTCTACTGGATCCGCGGCCGCGTCGACGACGTAATCAACGTCAGCGGCCACCGCCTCTCAACCGCCGAAATCGAAGCTGCTATGGTCGAACACGCCGCAGTCGCTGAATCCGCCGTCGTAGGCGTCTCCGACGAGGTAACAGGCCAATCCGTCATCGCCTTCGTCTGCCTCAAAGAAGCATTCCGCACCTCCGAGGAAGAAGTCCATGCCGAGCTCAGACTGCAGGTCCGCAACAACATCGGTCCCTTTGCGGCGCCGAAGAAGATCTTTATGGTTGTTGATCTGCCCAAGACTCGGTCGGGGAAGATCATGCGTCGTGTTTTGAGAAAGGTGGTCATGGGTGAGCAGGATCAGCTTGGTGATATTACTACGCTTTCGGATCCTTCTGTTGTTGAGAAGATTATTGGTGTTGTGCATAAGAGCGGTTAATGGACGGTGATAAAATGGGGAAGGGATTGTGGTTAAAATGTTTCTTGGATGGGTCATGATTAGAGTATTTCTCTCAACCCACTGTCTTTATAACTTCTATAATAATTCAAGATAATTGGTTCGCAATGACCCAATCAGCTGTATCATCTGCCTCAATATCCTTCTTCAAGTCAAGAGTATACACAGAGAAGTACCTGCCCACGTCCAAAGCATGAACGTAACAAGTGACCAGCAGTTTGAATACTGGATACCGGCCCTGATGTGGAAGCTGCACAAGCTTCTTTACCGCCATCTCAGTTTCTTCCCCAAGCCTAGAAGTCTCATAGACCGAGATCTCATCGATAATGCAGAGTACAACACCACCCTGTGGTATTTGATCCACAACGCGCTTGAACACTTTGTAGAGGGTATGAAGTTCTAAGCGTTCCAGCTTTCGCCACTTAGAATCAGAGATGAAGGAAAGATCAACTGCTAGACCCTTGTCTGTCATTTGGCGGATCAGCTGGCCTAGGATACTTGCCATCATGCCAACTGCTGACGCAAGAGGGTCATTGGGGTGCGAAGGTTGATGTTCAGAACAGAAATACTCGAGAATGAGAACAGGAGCAGACCCAGTGAGACCCGTGTTTGACATCCGCGCCAGTTCAGCCATAACAACACTGAAACGGGATATACACCCTCTGGCAGAAAGATCTCCGCGACCATTGGCAAGTAGACGCGTTGAGGTCTAAGTTTCCCTCATAAAAGTTTGCCACTCTCGCCTTTGCATTCTCGCCTACTTGGTAGTTCAACGAAAGAATAGATAAAATGTCCCGGGTCAAGGCTTCTGGGTTGTAATTGAGACACCGGAGAAGTCGTTGCTTTGTTTGCTCCATATCTGCTTTAGATTGGGTTGGCTGTTGTGAAGGGCTTTGTAGAATGGTAGGAGTTGTGCTTTGGCTGATGTCTTGGTCCCACAAGGAAAAACGATCCGCATTTAGGATGTCGTAACTAGAGACTTGAAGTCGGCTGGGGTCGCTGCCCGGAGCAGAATTTCCTGAACTCAGGTTAATTCAACACATATTCACAGACAGCTCAGCCTGTCGTGAAGCGTTGCTCACGGGGGGAGATACCTGATTCAGCCGCCTGGAACCTAGCATTCGTCAACAAAAACTCCATCAGTCGGTGAAAGACTATCTGCGTCTGTTCAGTCTTCCCATAGACCTTCATGACCATACGTGCTTGGCATTGCGACGCCTCATCATTCACAGCCTGAGCACACGCCTTGATGGCCTCAACACTCTGAAACAGCTGTTCCTTGTATGAGCCCTGCTGTATAAGACTGCCAATGAACTTCTCTACAGACTGTCAGTGACAGAGAGCCGGAGTTGCTGTGATGACCTACTTGGCTTGCCATCAAGGAAGAACTGCATGACCTGGTGAAGCAGGGTCAGGATGGCTCGGAAAAGCTCGATTGTGCGCTGTTCGAGGAACTGATCTCGCATTTGTCTGTACATGTCGACGTATCTCTTCGCACGCTCCATGATCATTGGTATCTCTGATATTGCTTCATAGACGCTCTCCTCGACCTTGGTGTACCTCCCGGCAGCCTATCTTGTGTTAGTCAGATCTCGGACAAGAGGATAACTTACCCCAATAATAATCTTGAACGCTCCGCAGATACTAAAGAGATTGTTAGTAATCTCTAGAATGCTACATACTCCGGGATGTACCTCGACCCATAATCCCCCGTGGGCAGAAGCCCCAACCACCTTTCGAGAGCTTCAGAGTGCCGTCCAACCTTGTCAACAAAGACCATGACTTTGCTTTGCTTGTTTGGTCTGCTCCTCCATAATTGAGCAGTTTTCTCTACTTCTCCCATGACCACTTTCCAGTTGCACTGACGTAGGTCGACCTTAGTATTGTACTTCTGACCTGTTTTATCTTGACCGAGCTTCTTCTGGACTTGCGCCATCACTGCGAAGAGAGATTCTGTCTCCTCCTGTATTTCTTTCCACTTGGTTGCACTGCCATTGGCGACGTTAGCAGAGTTTAACGTCACTATGTGATGTCTTACCTCTCCTCCTGCTCCTGACGAGCCTCGTCCAAGGATACAAACCCATTTAAGCGTTCACTGAACACAGGCAGCGGCTGCTCTGGTAGAGCAATATTGTTTTCGATGTATCTGGCGGCTTCGTTTGATGGGAGTCGATCGCGGGCGCTTAAGAACAATTCTCTGTGGAGGTCTTGCATCGTGCTTAGTGTTCCAGATGAAGGCGAGGAGTACAAGCAAAGATGCAGAGTTTATCACGACCTAGCATATGAGGCTGCTGCGCCGGACATGATTGCCAGAAGCCCGAAATGGTAATTACTGCGAGGAAAGCCTGATCAGGGCACCGGCGGCTGACCGCATGACTGCCGACCTGGCAACCAATAAGTCGCGCTCTCGAATCGCCCAATAATTTCGGGTGCCTAGGATTCATGCTGTACGACCTGAAAAGGATATGTGTGTATTAACTATGGCCGACTGACGTCTTGAGCTGAGTGTTTGGCTGTTGTACAAGGTGAATGCCTGATGAGGCATGTTCTGCGAAATGTGACACTACAACAGGAATGAATCTGTTTGAATATCCCTCTCTCTTGATCCCGCACTCAAATCTCGACTAATTTCAAGCTTTTATCCATCAACTCTAGGTTCTCGGCCGGAATACGCTCTCAGCCACAAATCTCAACTGCAAATAAGATTAACTCGCCAATATCCCATACTCATTCCAGAACAACAAAAGGGCTTAGCTCGCATATTCTCTATCAAGATGCCACCAGAGGTTGCTCAACCAATCCAGACGAGCCCTTTACTCCCCCCAGACGCAGTCCTGAAAGCGGAGGAAACTATGGACGCCCCGACTACACAACCTGAGATACCAGATCATGTTGAGCAAGAAAAGCCAGACAAGACCTCTGAATTCGACCTTCTCCAGGAAGCATTGGTTCGCCTGGCCGAGATGAATAAGCTGTTCACTACTGAAAGGATTTATGAGAATACTGAAGATGTCGCGAATGCCGCTGAAACGTCCATGTATAGGAGTCTCTGCAAAGGATTACTCGAAAAGAATCGTCGGCTTGGACAGCTCACAATGCGATCGCAGCAAGCAGCCATACACCACAATTTTACAACTATGAGGATCGAAGAGCTTGAGAAAGAGGTCAAGGATTTGAAAAACAGAGTTTACGAGCTGGGAGACGACCATGATTTCAAGAAACCGAAGGACAAACTTCCTATCCATCTGCACAAGCTGAAGAGATCCAATCCCTATGAGTTTGCACTCAACAACGACATCATCCTTCTTCCGATATCTCAGCAACCAGCTTTAGAGGTCAAATTGGCAGAAGCAGTAGTCACTAAACCGACCAAGGATGAGAATGCTTCACACAATATGGGTAATGACTCTGACATCACACCCGAAGGACTTATCCAGTTTAATCCGGAGAGACTCAGAATAAGATCTCGTCCGCTTATGTTTCGCCTTGAGTAGGTGACAGCCACCCAAGTGCTTTCCCGAGTGAAAGAAGATAGAATAGATGGGGAGACGGTCTACAGCGGCATGACGTTTCTTCGGCCCTTCAAGTTCTTCATCAAGCACGAAGCAGCTATTAGGAAAAGCGTGCCTGATGTAGAGGCCAAAGTAAAACAGGAAGAGAAAGATGACTCTGAGAATAATCCGGAGAAGAAGAAGAGGGGCAAAAAGGAGTACGACCTAGACCAGCGACAGTTTGACGCCAAGGATCTCCTGAAGGATCTCGAATTATTGGTTACATTTCTCGATACAGATCTCCGGCCAACCTTTGATCTTAGGCGACAAATCAGAGATGGAAAGGCTGTTGAAATCGAGTACGCCGATCTGAGACATCTGTTTGAGAGAGGAGATATTGTTGTTGCTAAAGCAAATCCAGCTTATGCCCGAATGGTTGTGAATGTGGCTGGCGGGTGAGAACCTTTGATCTTCAGGGCTACTAAGGAAGAAGAATACCGGACTCCAGTGAATGGCTTTTTTATAGATTGTATTAGCTTGGGAATTAATGGATCGTCCTTTGTCCCGAGTCTGGAACGATTCTCCATCAGAAAGTTCCACGGTCGACAGCCCATCTTGTCATTGCTTCTTTACCCCCTCAAATTCGACCCAAATGCAGATACTCTACGAAACAGGTTCCTTGAAGGCGGCAGGAACTTTTCACAAGTCGCAAGCAGCCCATTCTGCCACAAGAGAGCTGTAGGGAAAACGGTTGATGAACCGTCAGTAAACCTGGACGCCGAGGTTGTTGTCGATATGACGATTGCGATGAACATGAGATCGCAATGACGGCCTGATTCTGGCATTACACGGGACGACTTCACAAGAAACGATAAGAGAGAGGTGCTGGAATGGCCGTGGTGTAAGCATCTCGATGAGTACAATTATTCATGCTGTGGAAGCGATGTTATCTTCAACGACTTGGAGCTGGACGATGTCGATGCTCAAGAATTCCTCAAGAAGAAAGGTTATATCCTACAGCCGCTTACATTGGAAGATCTAACAGATGAGCATCTCATGATCATGAGGCCATATGTTCATGCGTTTGTTTTACGCTCGAGGCAATGGGTCACGATAAGATCTGACGATCTGCAAGACGTTATTTTCCGAAACAGCTTCGATGATTTGGTCTTACCGGATAACCACAAAACAACCGTCCAGGCATTAGTTACCACCCATGAGAAAGAAAAATCACCACTATCTTCTAGTCCTGAAAAGCCGAGCATCGGATCTGTGCTAGACCTTGTTCAAGGAAAGGGCAGTGGACTTGTCATTTTGCTACATGGACCACCCGGTGTTGGAAAGACGTCGACAGCCGAATGCGTCGCTGACGATACAAAACGGCCTCTGTTTCCAATTACTTGCGGTGACATTGGAGAAACTGCTGCTGATGTTGAGCATAACCTGCAAAACCACTTTGAATTGGCTCACAAATGGGGTTGTGTCCTACTTCTGGACGAAGCCGATATATTCCTCGCCAAACGCACCCGCAGCGACTTGCGCCATAATGCCGTCACAAGTGTATTCCTTCGAAGCTTGGAGTATTACGCTGGAATCCTCTTTTTGACGACAAATCGCGTTGGTGTTATCGATCCAGCATTCAGGTCCAGGATTCAAATGTCTTTGGTTTACCCCCAGTTGAGCCTTGACGTTACGTGCAAGTTGTACGAGAAGTTTATTAGAAGAGCCAAGACAGAGCAGATGAAACAGGGGTACTATGCTTTCAAAATTAAGGAGAAAGAGATTCTCAAGTTCGGAAAGAAGCATTTTCGAACTTTGGAAAAAAACAGCTACGAGACATGGAATGGGCGGTCAGTATTTCAGTCACATCTTGTATTCACCTGCTAACTGCCACAGCCAAATCCGGAACGCATTTCAAACAGCCATCGCCCTAGCAGAGCATCAAAGCATGACCCAATCCCCAGGGGATCCTCAGCCGACACTAGGCAGAGAGCAGTTTGAAGCAGTGGCGCGAGGATTCATGCAGTTTGACGAATACCTCAGCAAAACACTCGGAGCTACGGATGCAGATATGGCAAAGCGAGAGGGATGGCGCCACGACGGGTACATGATGGGAGCAGGCACCCCAGCCGTCCCTGTAGTTCCGATGGCTATGCCTCAACCAGCTCGTCACGTTCAGAAGCAAGCTGCTGCTATGAAATACGATAGTAATGATGATAGCGACTCTGAGACTGACACTGATGAGGAACCTGATATAGATGCCAAAGAGGCTAGGGCGGGGAAGAGTGGATCTGCAGAGAAAGGGGATTTTGAAACGGAAAGAGATGAGTTTTATGAGTATATGAAGTGGAAAAGGAAATGGTCAGGACACAAGTAATACATGGCTTGTAGTAGTCAAATAGAAGATGATGCCATTTATTCAGTAAACCTTACACTCGTAACCTCAACGCTGGGCCTACAGCTAGCTTGAGCGAGATCTCGGACAGCGCTGGAGGAACAGTCTTTGGGTTATTGTCGTCTATATGAGACTTTACTATCTAGCCAATGTAGCCATGGACTCACAATAAAATTCAAACCCTCCCTCAACCAATGCTCATCAATGGTAGCTTTAAAGTCAAAACCATGGTCTCCCGGCCTGACAGCCAGATGGATCTGAGTACTTGGGTCAAACCGCTGCAGGCAATCCACCAGCTTCCGGGTGCCATCAATAGGCACTGCGGTATCTCCCTCGCCGTGGAGCAGAAATAAAGGCGGAAACAAAGACTTCTCATAATTCGAGGAAGTCAATGCCACCCTCCTGATTCCATCAAGGATGAACAAGTCAGGGTCCTCGCCGAGAAGCTCCAGATACCGCCCATTGTGTACAACTGCCATTGCCGAATCAAGTCTCAAGGGTGGATCTGCCTCAGTGATTGCAGGCTTGACAACGGTGGCCGAAAGGAACTTGTTGACATCTTCGTTGGGATAGTTTGGTACACCAACGATTGACTTGGTATAGGACTCAGTGAAGTGAGCTTCTTTCATATCGACCATTGGGTAGAGGGCTATGATCGCCTTGGGTCTCACAAAGCCTGACAGCACAGACTGTAGAGCCAGGTAACCGCCTTCGACAAGATCAGAAGGTCAGTAAATGATGCATTACATGGGTTTAGATGGTTCGAGCTCACCGGCACTTTCGCCAACGACAAGCGTTCTGATGAGGTCTAATTGAAGCTTTTGTTGCCCAATTGCTGCGAAATGACGCGAAGAAGGACCCCCAGAATGCAGCCAATTCCAGAAGTTCCCCATGTCATGAATGATATCCCGGCCCTTAACCTCAGGGAGTAGTCTGTAGTTGGGACTGATGATAACGGCATCTTGCTCCTCAGCAAAGTCAAGAACCCACTTGGAGAACCAAGCCGGAAACAAACTGGAACCGGTGATCTGATAAAAAGTCAGCTTAATGTTTAATGCTAAACTATCGTTTGCATACTAGAAATCCGCCGTGGATCCTGACAATGACTGGAGGGCTGTGGCTTTTGAGGCGACGAGGAATCAAAATATCGACGCCTATCTGAATACCTGCAGACTCATAGTATGTTCGGATAATGGTGAAGGGATCGAATATGTCGCTTTTGACACTGTGTAGGACATCGATGAGGGCGTTGAACTGAGCGTCACGCTCCGACTGAGAGGTCAAATGTCAATGAGCTAGACCGCGATCCGATTTCCAGTTTACAGGCAGTTTATCCGCCTTGGCTATGTAGTATGAGAAGAGAGTGGAAGCAGCAAAATGCGCTGGTACTAACCTCCAAGTACTGTTTGAAGTAATAGCCAAGCACCAGGTGAGGTTAGGCTGAGAGACGGCGGCACTTACCGCAACCCCGCTTCGTGACTTTTTACCAGATCGGGTATGGACGACTTCACAGCGACAAGAGGATGAGAGGAGACTCAAAAGGTCACTTTATGGGCTTTTGAGATACCGGGTGATGTCTTCAATGTAACGGAGGCATGCGAACGGACATCAAACGGGACATGGCTCACGAGGCAGAAAAGGGCCAGTAGATCGAGACAAGATAATGTATTTATGATAAGCTATTGAATTTACAAAGCCTAAGAGTAATATGTAGGTGGAGTTTTAACAATCACCCGCTAATTGTGTCTAGCCTTGCAACGCCTTGTATATCTAAGTCTCCACCCGTTCCGAGCACTCCAACACCAAAGCATCTTGAACCCAAAGTCAGCAAAGTATCCTTTCCACTTTATCTAATTGACTCACCGCCATAAGGAAGAATCTGACTAGCAATAATCCCACCGATATTGTTCTTGCGATCAGCGAACCAGAAGAGATTAGCCAGGCCTTCCCAAGATGCTGAACCAGCTGCACGGCCAGTCGACTCGGGGAAGTGATTGATAGAAAATGACAAACCCCAGCCCTCGGTGTGATCATCTGGCATTGGCGTTAAGGGAGTTGGGTTTGCCAGTTCTGGTTTAGCAACGGGGACGCTGATGTTGCTGAAGCGTGGTTTATCGGGGATTTGATCGGTGAACATGTCTCGTAAGATATGTCAGTACAAGACTAGAGTGTCCTGCAGCAGAGATGAATGTACCATTGACTGTCTCAGCTTTGAGTAGCCGAACTCCTGATTTCGCATCCAGTCCGTCATTCAGCAGTAATGATATAATTCCTGCAATACAGTGAGCGAGACGAGAAGCAAAATCAAGGGCTGCTAAACTTACGCCCAAACTCTGCTGGTCTTCCAAAACATCCATGACCCCCAGCTCATGGAACCTTCTCTCCATCCTGAGCAAGAAGTGGACGTCGATAAAAGTGATCTGTAGTACTCAACTTGCCACTTGGGCTTCTGCGATGCATATAAGCCAGGTTTGACTTATCTTCCGCCGATGGATGGAAAGTGACATGGTCCATGCCCAGTGGCCTGAAGATGTGCTCTTTAAAGACATCCTCCAGTGACTTGTTGTACGTTCGTTCGATCATCACGCCAACCCAGTCCATCGAGACGCCATACTGAAACGTCTCACCAGGCTGATTCACCAGAGGTAGATTTGCTGTGTCAATTGCTTCTCCAGAGAAGTCATCGAAACCAATTGGGCGACTGAACTCTGCCAGCTTCTCATCCTCAAAGGCATAGCCGAAACCAGCTAGTCATTTGTCAGTGCTGGTATTCCTTCATAGAAGGATTCAGGTCGTACCTGTGTGAGTGATAAGCATTCGAAGAGTGATTCTCCTAACCTTCTCAGCAAGCTCAAGTTTGCCGTCTTTTCTTCGAGTCAATACCTTGACGTCCCGTAGCTTAGGGCAGATGGCTTCGACTTGATCAGCATCATCTAAGCGCAACTTCCCTTGCTCAACGAGTTGCATGCACGCGACGGATGTTGCCAATTTGGTGAAAGATGCCATGAAGAAGATAGTATCTTCTGACATGGGGCTTTCTGAGGTGACCCCCCGCAAGCCAGAGTAATGCTGAAAGATTGGTTCGCCGTCATTTCTGAACGAGGAGTAGACGAGGCCTGGGATCTTGCTCTCGGTGCCTCCAGTCGTGTACTCGTCGATAATACCACGAAGCTTGGACTGAGCATCCTGTAATAGTACAGACATGTTTGAGGGTGTATGAATCCGGAATAGTCTTTATCGGATGGTCTTCCGGGTTTGGGCTTGCAGTCATTTGGCCGGAAGCGCTCGACTCTCTAGATACAGAGTATAAGAACAGCTTCGCCGATCTGGTCTTAACGTGTCCTTGGTACTGATTAAGGAAGATCCCGAAGCAGTAGCAGTACGCCTTTACTAGTTCCGTAGATGCTTTTAGCGGAGGACGATGCGACTCAAGTTAGGTGCGGGGATCGAGCACCAAGAATGGAGTTCAGATTATTACCCAATTGGGAATAAAGTTAGACTACACGCGAGATAAGCTACAGGGACTAAACACCATTTACATACAAGTCAACAGACCGTGTAAGTATAACTGCAGATAAAACGGGGTCTCAGCTAGCTATTGATAACGAACAGCAATTTTCTACAGTGTAATCCCAGCCGTCACCAATTCCGCGTGCAGTAACAAGTTTCAAGAGTCAAGCCTCAACAGCAATCAAAACTACCATTTTACTATCAACATGTCTTCAGTCCGTTATCAGTTCCTCCCCGGCCCAGTAGGAGAAATGCTCCGCTCCACATCCCTCGCAACCACCGCCACAATCCCACTATCAGGCTCTCTCGTCATTACGACAGGCCATGTCGGGGTAGACATCAAAACAGGACAACTCGTCACCAGCTCTATAGAAGCCGAGTTCAACGCCGTGTTTGACTGTCTTGATGCAGCAATCAAGAATGCAGGTGTTACCAAAGGCCTCGGCTCAGCACATAAGCTGGTGGCTTACTTTACCCGAGCTGAGGATGAGGCAACACTGCTTAGCATCTTTCGAGAACGGTATCCGGGACATACTCCGACCTTGACCTCGGTGGTCGTGGCTGGGCTAGTTAATCCGGGGATGCATGTTGAAGTACAAGCGGAGGCGATCGCTATCTAGAGGGGCTATGGGGACGCCATGACTGATCAACAGACAGAAGGAAGACAGCGATAGATAAACTAGCTACAACGGGTATGCACTCATGTCAATAAATGCCAAACCCGACAATGACAAATTCCACGCAACATTTCTATTTTCGGTACTAAACACCAAATGCTATCTATTCTCGATCAGGCATGTTTCGGTAAGGGTTGTTAGGATCCGCCAACTCCTCCTCCACACTCTGTATCGTCTTGACCACCTTTGCAGGGGCGCCCAGGGCGATCGAGTAAGCGGGCAGACTCTTAGTAACCACCGCCCCAGCGCCAACAGTGCAGCCTCGCCCAATGGTTACACCAGGGAGAATGACGACGTTACCGCCGATCCAGCAGTCGTCTTCAATACGGATGGGATGTCCGAACTCGACGAACTTGATCCTGGATAGAACGCTCGTCTCATGGCCCGCGGTATAGATGTGTACGTTGGGACCCATCTGGACGCGGTCGCCGATGATGACGAGGCTGGTATCTAGAATGGTCAAGCTGAGAGATATTAGTCACTGTTCCACTCACTCAGAGTTGTAGACTCACCCAAAGTTCATGAAGCAGTTCTCGCCGATGGAGACATTACTTCCGTAGTCAGGCATGAAAGGCGTCTCAATGTCCGTTCCCTTGCCGACCTTTCCGAGCATCTCCGAGAGCATCTGAGCCCGCTTGTCGTCGATCTCCTCGCGAGTGCCAGCGCTGGGATCAATGTTGTTGTACTTGTACGCCAGACCGCGCGCTCTGTGGCGGCCGTCCAGAAGCTCGGGGTGCCGGGGGTTGTAGCTAGCCCAGGGTTAGGAAATGTACTGGCGTTGTATTAAGGTGTAAAGTGTACTCACAGCATGCCAGAGATCATCTTCTCGTACTCTTCGCACCATGGTGTACCCTTGAGGCCTTTGGCGATCTCGATGATCTCATTATCTTTCTGTTGCTTGGCCATGATGAGCAGTGTGGCTTTGGGCAGTGATTCGTACAAGGCTGATAGTCGGCAAGCGATAACGATATGAATCCTTCAGAAGAAAGTTATACTGTCTGACTGTCGAGGTAGATACGGAGCTGGTACCTGTTAAGTTGGAGAAACACGTCTCATCTTTTAAACGTGGAGAAGGTGAGGGCTTATTACCAGAAATGGAATTAAGACGTGACCCACAAAGAAAAACAAGTCTACCCCACACAGTGCCAGCTCGTCACGAGAGGAAGAGCTTATCGGCAAAGGTCGATTCTTGAGGTGATTGATGCCAAGATACGGGCTGCATGATTTCCCCCGCGTTCGGGGGGTCTAATCTTGATTAACGGAGAGATAGATTGCGGGGGAGATACAGGTTCGTTTGATACGTATCTGATCCTTTATTGGCTGCTGTCTTGCTTGGCTGTAGTGATTCCGACTAGCCAGCCTGGCCGTTAAGAATAGTCTACAGCGAAAAGTATATTACCTTGACGTTCCTGACTCAATCTGACACTCAACTCATCACCATCTCCCACACCGTTCACGATGGCTCAGAGCATAGAAGCCCAGAACTCCGACAACAAGCCCGACATCAACGTCACAGACAACTACGACGTTGACGTCGGCAGGGTCGAAAATGTCGAATCTTTCAGCAAGAGCCCTGATGCAGTCGATGACAACATCCTCCTCGCTCAGGGCCACGCCCCCGTGATGAGACGATCCTTCGATCTGCTGGGCACCCTTGGACTTGGCTTCAGCATCACCAACTCGTGGGTTTCGAACGCCAGTTGCTTTGGGCAGAGTCTTCTCTACGGAGGTGCCCAAGTGACTGTGTTTGGGCTTATAGTCGCTTGTGCGGTGTAGTGGCTTATTATTCTTGGTCTTGCGGAGCAAGCTTCGGCGTTTCCGTCTCTCCAAGACTTGCCTTCCTTTCTATTGGTTAAGGAAAGTGCGAGAATCGAAACACCCAGTCACGTGAGGTAAGCTACATACAGCTCCAGGACTGCTATCCCTGAAATCAGGCTGCGAGAACATCACAACATCACCAAGAGGGGTAAACCTACAATCAGATCGTTTTTCAATCCGAAAAAAAGATCCTTATCCCTCGCGTCGAATCCTTCCTCACCAGCCTTAAAGGTGATACCAAGGCGACTATGGCCGACTTGGACCCTGCGTTATATACTATCGCATGGATCGCGCCGCTCGAGATCGAGGCCCAAGCGGCTCTCCACATGCTCGATCACAAACATGAGGGCCGGTTTCCTACTAGTCGAGGAGACGATTATGTCTTTGAGGCTGGTGATATCAACGGTCATAATATTATTATTGCGACATTACCGATAGGCCAGGAATACGGTACTGGATCAGCTGCTGCTATCGCTAGTCAGATCAAGAAGTTCTTTCCTAACCTCTGGTTTGGTTTGCTTGTTGGTGTTGCTGCTGGCCTGCCTAATCATCAAAAGGATCCCCCAATTGACATTCGACTTGGGGATGTCCTCGTTGGACTCTCCACACCTGAGAGTGCTGGTCTTATAGCCTATGATTTAGGGAAAGAAACTGCTGATGGATTTCAGCTCTTGAACGATAGGCGTGTCCTAGCTCCGGTGGAAACTGTTGTGAGGTCCGCTATTGGCAGTATCAAAATGTCGTTAAATGATACTGAGGCCTTCCTACCATTTTATGAAAGTATCAAGAACAAGCACCACTCTAGTGGTACTTTCATAGATCCCGGTCAAGAGGAGGATGTACTATACTACACAGAAAGTTCTGCAGGGGCTCGGAAAGTTATGCAGCGAAAACAGCGGCCATCAAGCAATCGAACACGCGTCTGGTATGGCTCTATCGGGTCCGGGGAGAAATTAACCAAAAACAGCCAAAAGCGCGATCACCTAAGGGATACTTATAATCTTATAGGTCTAGAAATGGAGGCGGCTGGTATTATGAACCGAGTCCCTGTAGGTGTTATCAGAGGGGTGTGCGATTATGCAGATGAGAACAAGAACAAGAAATGGCAGCCTTTTGCGGCAGCAATGGCTGCTGCATATGCAAAAGCAGTTTTGCTCCGTATCGGGTCTGGACAGGCCGCGCCAAAGTCAATGGGTTAGTGCAGTTTCTTCTTCCTCTCGTGGATTATTTGGCTTATATTTTATTTACGTAGCGCTGCAAACTGGTATGATCCTATGTGATCTCCCAACAAGAACAGACCGTTTCTTCGGACGGGAAGATGAGCTCTTGAAGATCGAAAACAGCCTTGAGCACACATCGGACTCGCTCAAGAGTGTTATCCTTTGTGGCATCTCCGGGTCAGGCAAGACCCAGTTGGCTCGCGAATACGTTGCTCGCAAAGCAAACAATTTCTCGGCAATATTATGGATCGATGCAAGCACGGAACTGACTGCAGAGCAGTCCTGGAATTCCTGCGCGAGCTACATCCAGAGAAAAGTTCCAGGTCTGAAGGTCCAAGACTCATATACGTCGCTACGTTCCTTCGTCATGGAGTGGCTGCGAACGACCGCAGCAAAGGACTGGCTCGTCATCATTGACAGAGCGGATGCTCCGATGGCTACTAAGCGATTGTTGGACCCTTTCAATACCTTGAACCACGGCTCTCTTTGTATCACAACAACACATCAAGCAATTGCTAGAGCCATGCGGACAAAGCAAATTCTCATTGAGCGTCTAGATCCAGTATCTTCCCAAAACCTCATTCTCTGGCGAGCATTTGAGAGCCAAGAAGAACATTCATCTCAAGGTTTGTACTCGCCATTACATTGATCAAGTTCATATCAATGATACTGACTTTTTCAAGTTCTTGATTCGGTGGTACGTACAGCTAAAGCTCTCGACGGCTTTCCACTCGCACTTGAGCTTGCTGGAATCCTTATCTACGAGGGAATAGTACCACTAAAAACATTTGCGGAAACCTTTGCCTCTAAGTACAACCAGCTTGCGCGATTCAATGTTGATCCGGGCATTTGGCTATGGAATAGGAGCGACTCGCTATTTGAAATGTTTGACGAGCTCTACCACTCACTCGTAGCGAAAAGCCCCAACGCAGGTCTTTTGCTTACGTTATGTGCTGTATATGGTCCCTGGAACCTGCCAATATCTCTCATTCAGGGACTGCAAATTTATACAGATGACGAACGTTCGGACAACCCGACTTGTTGGGGCCAGTTGAAATCCTTGCTCAACGACGACGTCGAACTCAATTTGGCTATTTATGAGATTTGCCGAGTATTTTTGGCTAAAAGGCAAATGAGCGCTGATGGCAATATTCTGAGCATTACACTCCATGGCTCAGTATGCCAGTGGCGTTTCGCTACGATAGGAGAGCAACGGGCTGAGTGGATAATGAAGACCTCTTTTGGTCTGGCATGGCATAGAGAATCAGTCAAACAATCCTCAGAGTAAGTTATGCAACTATCATAATATTGGAGTAAAAATAACCCTGAAAAGGACCATGGCCGAAGAAGGAAGCCAAATTGATGCCAACCGAGGGTTCTTACATCTATTCGACAAGTGTCTGAACTCCATCGAGAATCATGTCCCAAGCGAGGACCTGGAACCTGCTACCGGCAAATTTGCCCGACACTACTATACATTTTGCTCCTGTAGTGCTCCACTTTATCTATCGTCAGGGAATTCGGCCAAGGCCAAGGAACTGTTTTCAGTTGCAATAAACTATGCGAGATCATCTGAGTCGTACGACCGGCGTTTGATGTATCTGCTCTGCGGTTTTGCTAAATGTTGCAGGCGAGTTGGAGATCTTGATGCTGCAAAAGAAGCTCTGGAGTCTGCATTGGAAATTGCCGAGGGAATTTGCGGCTACAGAAGCGAGCAGACCTTAGAAATCGTTGCCCAGCTCAAGACGGTTAGCGAAGGCATAGCCATGGAGCAAGATCATCGTCAACGGGCAGCCGTGGCTAGTACAGGAAGCAAGCTCAATGAAGTTCAGAGTAACGCTGAACAGTCTAGTTCAAGCTCATTGCAACCCCCGAAAAGAAGCTCCAGAGTGGCGAATTTCTTGTTGAGACCTCTCGGATTGAGAATAGATCCACAGAACGTTGAGGGGAGAGGCGAGCCCGAGTACCAGATCGTTGACCCTGTCCCAGTCCCACAGTATATCCCGCAGAGTCCAGACCTTTTAGGCAACTGGATTGCACAAGATCAGCACAATAGCTATCGACATACCTTGCGTAGTCGTGATGAGCTAGCTTCCCAAGCTCCTGAGGTGGTCAGCAACGAAATTGGCTATATTCCGTTGACCGGCTTCACGATAGATGAACCAATGAAGTCAGTCAATCCCGGACTGGCCTTGGAGATATGTCTTCTCAATCCCGCGGTATTTATCCCGGCAGCTAGTGGCGTCGCACCAGGAGTTCGAGGGACGTTGCGGCTAAGGGTCAAGGACCGTGTACAAGTCGAGGCCATCACCCTGACACTTCGCGCCGTCCAAAGAGCCAATTGGTTACCACCAGACATCCCACCAACTCGTTCTGAACAGTTTCAAGAAGAACTCGAAGTTCAAAGCACAGCCCTCTTTCAGACTACAGAGAGTCGACAAGGAGCGCCATACGGAAGTGACTGTCAGTATCTTGTGTCCAGTAGCGCGCCCTCAAGTAAAGCCTCTACCCAAGCTGAGCCCGCAAACAGCAAAAGCTTCCCAGGTGGCTTGTACTGCTACCCGTTTCAGTTCACCTTGGCAAACGACAGATTGCCCACCGCGCGTCTCGGTCACGGTTCGCTTACGTGGCTCCTCAAGGCCACTCTAACGTTTTATGAGACTAGTGGTTCTAGCCATGATATTGAACTAGTCAAAGAGGTCCCTGTAATAAGGAATCGGACTTTCAATCAAGAAGCCATAACGCGATGGGGCTTATGCTCCGGACGTATCACCTTCCCATACAGAATCTGGATCAAACACAGCCAGTTCTTCTTCGGCGACAAGATACCGGTCTTGATCGCTTTTGGGCCATCTATTACGTCTGCAAGAATGCTTAAATTTAAGTGCTCTATCATCCAAACGGAGGAGTATTGGACACCAGATGGTCGAAACACATGCACAGTTCCTCCCCGTGAAATAGCCATATTCGAAAGGGTGAGCAATTTGTCAGAAGGATCAGATCTGGTGACTTATAAGCCGGTTGGTCCCAAGCCTGGTCCACTTTCCATATTGTACGACGACGTCTATTTGCCTACTTGCAAGGGGATGGACCAAAACGAGAAATATCACTTGCGTGCGAGCTGTACTTTGCGCGGCATGCAGATTACGCACCACCTGCGAGTAAGTCACACATACATCACCGAACTCGAAATGCAGTTCATTGACATGGTTTGGCAGATTACTATCGGTGTCTCTATTTCTGATCCCTCGCAGACAGATATCGAGACCGTTAGGGATCATCCAATTACCCTGCTCGACTGTCGATCTGGTTGCAAATACTACAATCCATTCTCCTACAAACGTTTATGTCCCTATTGCGGGACAGTGGATTGGTGTTTCGAGGAGGATATCAAGGTTACTGTTCAGGGCATCAATGACCGATCCCGCGAAAGGAGTCTGTTGGGTCTGTTGGAACCAAAAAGCGCCACGATCCATACAGAGATGTTCAGAACAGCAGCACTTTTCTCAGGCATCTTTACAGATCGGAGAGCGCTTGCAACAGAGCTAACAAGTTTATTGAAACAAACAAGACTAGCTAACGAGAAGATGTTGGGGCGGGGCTCGACGCCACCGCAGTCTGAAGATAATATCTTTACGCTTGATGTCGGCTGCGAGATGTTTAGACGATATGCCTTGGCTTTATTTGATAGAGGTGGTGTATTTGCTGATTTTATTGAAAATAATAATCAACAGATAATTCATGAGCTGGAATAATAAATAATATTAGGATTAGGATGGAGTTAGTAATGACTATTCTTTATCTCCAAATACCCAGTGATCATTCGCTTCGCCACTAAGATACGCACTGTAACGGTTTCGCTACGACATATCACCGCCGGTTCTGCTGCCCAGGTGAGAGGCCATTGATCCCTTGATGATGTTCCTTAGTTCTGAGCTCTAACGACGAATTTCTGTGATCCATAGGCCGTACGATGGGCCACAGACTGTGGCGTCGATATAATATCGATAAGCTGGACAATCGAGACCCCTGTGCCGGGAAATCCCGAGATGGAGAGTCTTCAACAAGCTGTCCGACGGGCAAGCAACCACAACATCGTCATGTTCTGTTCAACAAGTGACCAGGGTAGTATGACGAATGATCACAACTGCTATCCAGGTGACTTTGGAGGTTGCATCAGGATTGGAAGCGCGAGCAATACGGGTGACGCCATGGCATGGGTCAAGGTTGAGAAAGTTGATTTCCTCCTCCCTGGATCTAATGTGCCCTTTTCCGTCACCGAAGGCAAGACAAACCTGCACGAATCTGGTAGTTCTATTGCCACAGCTGCTGCATCAGGCCTTGCGGCATTTCTGATGGCTTGCAGCTGGCTCTTGGATGAGAAGGACAACTATTTCAAAGACTACAACAACATGAAGAGGGCATTTCATAATCTGGCCCAGGGGCATAAGTTCCCTGCCGTTTCTGAGAGACTGGAGAAGCTCTTTATGCGGAAACTAGAGAGGATTCAGGGTAAGGATGAGAAAACAGTTAGTGAACTGCCTATGGAGTGGTCGGACGAGTGTCAGAGGGCACTAGGTGAGATCATAAACGGGATTAAGGATACAACGTGAATTCCTTTCTACCCGTTCACATTACAACACATAATTAATTTAGATTGAACTCCGGCTCTTACGGCACTCTGAACAATGGTGTTAATGAAAGGCAACGATGTGCTGATCAAAGTCTACTACTGATAGCCTTTTTCTTCGAAGCAACGACTTCGCGATGAGCAACCTGCGCATTCAAACAACCTTGCTCCAAAGCGCCGTCGATAGCAGCTCTCCAGCCATGGGCCCAGTCAGCCGAAGCAAAAAAGACATTACCGTGTCGACTCTGAAGTTCGTCCTGGTATTTTGACATGTAACCTGGCTGCCACCAGGCAGGACCTCCCTTTGAGAAAGGATCCGTTGCCCAATTATGCAGCATCTTCTTATCGTTAGTGACCAATACTCAGCAATAGTGGATGTGCTACTAACCAGTCTCTTGACATCCATGGGATGGGTCTTGTTAAGAGCTTCAATGGTCTGCGCTGCATTATTCTCGGGTATAAATGTTTCGCGTTCATCTGCACCGAAGGCAACGACGTGGACATCGCCATTCGGCAGTACGCCATCGCCATAGCCGTACATGAGAAGACCAGGGAACTTCATACCATTCCACCTCTCAAGTTCTTTGTTACTCACATCAGCGTGAACCTTGGTCATCTGATTTACATGGCCAATGTTGATGGCGTCTTGTCGACGTTGTGTCAGTGGAGGAGAGAACTCGATATCCTTCAAGACGTTGAGAGGAATGGTGTTGATAATCTTCTTCGCCCGGAAGACATCGTCATTGCTACTGGTCACACTCACTGGACCGTCGCCAGATGAGTCCTGTGCGATCGACTTGACTTGCGTGGAGAAAGCATGCTCCAGCCCATCCCCAGTGGCCTCCTCAAACATACGCTTCGCAAGTGCAGTCTGGCCATGTCGAAGCTTATATCTCAACCAAACATCAGCAAAGTTATCAGAACTATGCATTAGTAAAGCATGTGAACGAATCATATCCCAGAGACTCGACTCTTTCATTCTTCCGCCCGAGATATGCAGTAGTAATGATACCAAGAGACCTTGTTCTTCGGTTGTGAGTTTATGCTTGATCTCTTCGAAGCGGTCGTGGCAGGATAGTTGATCCCACTTCTCAACGGTAGATCGATCGACGATGGGATTGTCAAGCTGGGCGTGGGGGAGGGGGCAGATGGTACGACCGAATTGGCCGTCGACGTTGACGAACATGTCCCAGGCTTTGGCTTGCATTGCGCCGGCTTCCTTGTGGCTGAGCTTGCGCGGTGTAGCACCTATGTTCATCTCACGTCAGCAATATGGAGTGAAACTGAGGTTAGTTGTGATCATACCTGGTACATCGATAGTGTAATACCCTTTGTGCATGTCCGGACTTCCCGTAGTAATGAGATCACGGTCCATGTTGTATCGCGTCATTTCTCTAAACAAGTAGCCCATATGGTGAGTGACCCAAGTTCCTCCCATCTCATAGAGAAATCCTTAAAGTGTCAGTCAAGCCTTGTGATATACTGAGATCCTTCTTACCATCTTTCTTGGCAGTATATGTCCTGCCGCCAATTCGATCTCGTGCTTCTAGCAGTAGGACAGAATGATCTGCAAAACGTCAGAGCTGTTCGGTGGACAAATTGGCTGTCACATACTCAATTGACTGAGGTCACGAGCCGCCGCTAGACCAGCATATCCAGCTCCAATGACAATAACATCGTAGACTTTGTTGGCAGAAGAAATGGATCGCTGAGGCGAGATAACAGCGTCTCTCTCGAGTCCTTTCTGAAAGCCAGTGTGAGGCTCCCAGATATGGCCGTCTTTAGTCTTGGGCGTCATACTGTACAAACCGAGTGACTAATTGACAAAGAATGGAGAAAGACTTGGAGTTGCAGGATTCGAAGTTGAAAGCTTGAAGGTAACTAGAGTCTAGCTTGGATGGCGATAAACCTGCCTTAGCCTTATCTAGCTTGTTTGCACTGTCAAAGCTACTCCAATCAGTAGTAGTTTCTCAAGCCATCTCCAACCCGGCAAATTCCACAATTGGCCCCATCACAAAGTTGACACTATTTCCTATCGTGGACTCTGCGGGGTTGAAGCTGTCCTTAATTCCTATTTGGATAGTAACGAGAGCTCCGCACATAAAGAGGCTTCAGCGGAGTCTCCGATGTCTTAATACCACATTGGGTAGTCACGTCAACTTCCGTATCCACGGTCATGATAATCATGGCGTAGACACTCAGCGTTTGTTCATAAAATCTCGAACCACAGCTCGTTGAAAGAGTCAGACCATATCTGAGCTATACCGTATCATATCACACCGCAACACACCACCCGCATAACTTTAGTGTACTTTTATTCTTAAGCAAATATGCCTGACTTTACTGGTCTCGAGCTCACTGGCAAGGCTGCCATCGTCACTGGCGCGTCTCGGTAAGTTACCCCGGCAACCTCAGGTGAGTGAACTGCTTGACTAACACATCTCAGTGGCCTTGGTGCCGGCATTGCTATCCTGCTTGGCAAGCAAGGTGCCAACGTGGTGGTCAACTACGTGTCGGACGGCAGCAGAGAGCGAGCTGAGAAGGTCGCTCAGGAGATTGAGGCCAATGGCACAAAAGCTATTGTTGTCCAGGCCGATGTCAGCCAGACTGCTGAGATTCCTAAGTTGATTGATGCTGCGCTCAAGATCAGCTCAACTGGCAAGATTGAGATCCTCATTCACAAGTAAGTTTGGTTCCGTGGAAGGTGCCCGTCTCGGAGTCGCTGGACAGACAGTCTACGCCGCTACCAAGGCAGCTGACGAAGCTCTCGTTCGTGTCTGGGCCAAAGAGCTTGGTCAGTCACACGGCATCACAGTAAACTGTGTGAACCCTGGTCCTATCGCTACAGATCAATGGTTCCAGAGTGATGAGCAGTTCCTCAAGGATATGCAACCTCTGATTGACTCTACGCCTGCTGCGGCGCGTGTTGGTGAGGTTAGTGATATTGCGCCTTTGGTTGCGTTCCTTTGCACGGATGATGCAAAGTGGACGACGGGTTCTGTTCTTTCTGCCAATGGTGGTCTATACAATTAGATTAGCTGATTTAGTTGAATCATGAGATGAATGAACGGATAACTTGGCAAATGAATGAACTGAGATTCAAGAATTGCCATGATGATGAAGCATGTGATAAGACAGCTTATAGCGACTGTAACTAAACTCCAAGCTGACATCGCGAGGTTATGACGCTGTACGCTCAATGACTCGTCCCATGACCAATCGGAACCTCTCTAATGCATAGAAATTTGGCGACACGTAGATTCATCAGGGTTTCTCCCCTGCTCATCAAGTTTATCTCCAAATAGCCAGTGAACATTCGCCAATAAGATACGCACTGTAACGGTTGTGATTCCCCGTGGGCGGGGGCGTTTTTAGTGTCATGATGAGGGATGGGTCCAAGTTTCTTCCTTCTCCCCAAGCTTGGAAAGCTTTCTGAACCCTTCCCCTCATTCATACCTTCACTTCTGTGTGCTACACTCTGATACCAGCCTTTGTTAGAGAAATGTCAGCGGTCAAACCTCGAGAGTTCAAGTTCGTCGGCGCATTCAGTCGCAAGAGGAGACGTCGTGATGGGACAGCACCTGGATCGATTGACTTCGTCGGACCGACAACACGATCGAAGCAAGCAGCGACGAAACCGCAGAGTGAAGCTGTTGCTGCTGAGCCTGCGACGCCGCCAAAGTCGGCGGATGGCAATAGCGAAGGTCAGGATAAGAGTGGTGAGAATACTACGCCCCCAGCGGTAGAAGCGACAGAAACAGAGGCGCAGGCTCCTCTTGCAACGACGCCAGTGATTCCTCACGAGAATGCCAATCCGTTTGATCACGATATGATGATGGGAGAGGGTATGAACAGCGGAAGTGATATCGACTGGACATATTCAAGTCTTATGAACCCTTTCATAGATACAGGTCCCTCGTTCATGGCGCCTTTTGATCAAGTCAATGGCCAACTGCCCATTTATTTTGGGCCTGACATCCCTCTCATTCAACTGGGCGACTCATCATCTACCGACAACTCGCCTGAGAATCACTTCATCGGGCCTCAATTGCCAAATGAAACCGACGGTACAGCGGGAGAGTTTGCTACAGATGCACAGGCGCAAGCAATTGAAGAGCCCGTCTTGCCATTGCTCAACTCTCACGCGGCGCCGAGCAACATTAGCGACACCATTGCGCAGCTACTGACTCGATGTACGTATCAGTACTGCAACTCCTGTAGTATCATTACCTGACCGCATTAGATGACCAAGAGTTTTGCGTCATGCCTCTGACCCACGACTTTGCCGCCAATCCATTCCGATTCGACGCCGAAACAGGTCGGGGCTCACAACTTCTCTTACATTGCATCCTCGCTCTCTCTTACAAACACATCAATCGAGATACGGGATCTTGCGCCGGAGAGGCCAAGATGCATAAGAAGAAGGCTCTCCAGATGCTCAAAGACATGGAAGGCGTGTCGCAGGCGTCACCGATTGAAGCGACTTTCTTGGACGCGGTGTTGATCCTCATGACACTTGATGTAAGTCTGCACGAAGCTACATGTAGTCGGATACTAATATCTCCAGTGCGCAACATCTGCTCATGGTCCTTGGACTTGGTATCTCAAACGAGCGCATAAAATGATACAAGCTGCCGAATTCTGTAACATGAAGAAGACGCCTCGAATGCAAGCACGCATTGAGATGCTAGTCTGGTAAATACCACTAAACACCATCTACCCAACCCGAATACTGACTGTCGCAGGTGGGACGTCACTCTAGCCCTCACAAGCCGCCAAGGATGCGTCCTCTCCGAATCCACGATAATCAGCCTCTTCAACTCTTCAACCACGACAAAACAAGCGACGAGACCTTCTACAGCGTATCAGGCTGTCCCGAAGCCTTATTCCGCCACATTATCCGCCTCGGATCCTACGCACGAGAATTCGAGCTCATAAGCAACATGACCTGTGCAAAATTCGACATGGAGCACGTTCTCAACGTGGAGAAAGAAATACGCGAGTGGACAGACCCAGAGTACGGAGACATCCCAGACCAACTCGTCTCAGACACTACAGGCTGCGATATAGGCGATGTAGCACACTACAAAGAAGACTTACACCACTGCGCCGAAGCATGGAGATACGGGTTATTAATCTACATCGGGCGCGTGTTCAAATGGCAGCGCGATCAGCCCGCCCCCTCGATATTAGGCTTCCTGGCGCGCAAGACGCTTAATCATGTTACGTCTTGTTCTTATAGGTCCATGCTGCAGAAACAACTCCTTCTTCCCGTTTTTCTAGCGGGGTGTGAGACGGGGGATGAGCACTTGAGACAGGCGGCGAGGACGTATTGTAGTTGGTGGAATGAACGGACGAGGTATGATATGTTCTTGACGGCGAATACGCTGCTGGAGGAGGTTTGGGCTGATGAGGCGGTGGATTCGTGGTGGGGGTCTGTTATTGATCAGAAGAGTCGGTCGAATGTTAACTCTGGCGAGGGGAGGCAGTATTTATTTGGGTGAGGTTTTATGGCGTTTGTAGTCTGTTTATGGTGTCATGTTGGCGTTGGGAGGGATGGCTAGCTGTGACAAACAACATGTGAATGTCGGGTTGGGAAAATGGACGTTCACAATTTGAATCATGGCAGAGATTTGAGATGTATATATAGTACTCGCACTTTTTACTGCAATTGGCATTTTCTATCTTCCGAATAGAGTCATATCTGCTGGGGAACTGAGCCAGAACTGTCTCTTATATTCTCCCGCCATACATGTTATTCTGTTAAAAGAAGTACGACAGATCTAAAAGTCTCTGAACAAGTCCGAGATGAGGAACTCATATCATGTCCATTGTCACCACGTTGATCTGTTGCAAGGCGTAGATGCTTGGTCGATTCCGCATTTGCGTTTCTCTGCCTAATGAGCAAGGACAAGACATAGCGTAGGGAACCCAATGGCGCCACTTAATCTTTGCGGTGGAATTACCCGAAGATTTCTTATCGGATGTTCATGTTCTACATACGTGCCTTTACCTATGTAGCGGTTAAGTCACGAGTCAGTGGTCTTCGCGTATCGTTATCCTTTCGGGTAACTTGATTTTACTGCCGCAACTGCAAAAGCAGTCAGCAATAATTCCTCTCAGCACACTCTGCAACGCGATAAGGTAATTATTCATGAATGGCAACCGATTTGGGGGGTTCCAAGAGGTGCGCCATTGGGCTGGTGGCAACCCGGTTGGTTGCGGGGGTGCGGTATTACCCAAAGAGGAATTACGCGATTGAGTAACTACTGTGTCGAGACTTGGAGAGTACCATTCTCTATGGATGCTCGGGGTATCACAAACCACAGATTTAGGAGCATCTGTAGACCTCTGTAACATCTACAAAAGCACAGGTTTAATCGTATCAGATCAGTCCATCTCACCAACCAAATACATCATTTCAATCATCAATCTCACCATCCACCAAAACAAACACTCCCATCACAACACACAACAAAATGGCAACTATGGACGAGGTATTCGCCGGCTACGCCAAGCGACAAGCCACCCTCCAAGCAAGCACCAATATCCTCTCCCAAGGCATCGCCTGGGTCGAAGGCGAGCTCGTCCCCCTGCAGTCCGCCCGCATACCCCTCCTCGACCAGGGTTTCATGCACAGCGACCTGACCTACGACGTGCCCTCCGTCTGGGACGGCCGCTTCTTCCGCCTCGGCGACCACCTCGATCGTCTCGAGGCCAGCTGCAAGAAGATGAGGCTTCGCTTCCCCATCCCCCGCGACGAGATCAAGAAGATCCTCGTTGAGATGGTCGCCAAGAGTGAGATCAAGGATGCGTTCGTTGAATTGATTGTTACTCGTGGTCTTAAGGGTGTGAGGGGTGCGAAGCCGGAGGAGTTGCTGAATAATAACCTGTACATGTTCATTCAGCCATATGTTTGGGTCATGGACCCCGAGGATCAGTATCATGGCGGTCGTGCGATTGTTGCGCGAACCGTACGACGTGTTCCACCTGGCTCTATTGATCCCACCATTAAGAATCTCCAGTGGGGTGATCTTGTCCGCGGCTTATTCGAGGCCAACGACCGTGGCGCCACTTATCCCTTCCTGACTGACGGCGATGCCAACCTCACCGAAGGTTCAGGCTTCAACGTTGTTATAATCAAGAATGGTGTGCTGTACACACCTGATCGGGGAGTATTGCAGGGAATTACAAGGAAAAGTGTCATTGACGCTGCTCGATCTTGTGGATACGAGACTCGAATTGAGCATGTTCCGGTTGAGGCGGCGTATCAGGCTGACGAGATTTTGATGTGCCCAACTGCTGGTGGTATTATGCCCATCACTACTCTGGATGATAAGCCTGTGAATGATGGCAAGGTTGGACCTATTACGAAGGCTATCTGGGATCGTTACTGGGCTATGCACTGGGAGGATGAGTATAGCTTTAAGATTGATTACTAGGGCATTGTTTGAGAGAGTTGTTAATTCTGACATTAAATAAAACGCATTTTAATCTTCATCAATACTGAGTTTCAGTGAATCGTATTTACTGAGGAAGGGCATCAGTTGTTTCTTAAGAAACTCACTATAGGTCTCTGGCTCCTTGGGCGATGATACTTGCAAGATTGAAAAGTCACTTGATTCGAGTTCGGGACCGAACTTTTATTTCGTGGAGGTATCATAAACTTCTACCATCAATTAATCATAGTTCCGTAGATATCAGAAACGGTCGTTGGGCTTTGTCGCAATTTGGACACATCGAACCGAGACAAGCTTGTCAAGAATAGAATCTTGTAACAGAAAACATCACCTCATGTCAATACCTCAGGCGTCCCATGACCAGGCCTTGTCAACATTGCCGGTCAGTATCCGTAATTACCCCAGACTCAAGTCTATCGAAAGCAGCACCAACGAGCTCCGCTGATAAGGTTTCAGGTCCAACTCACGTTGCCGAATCAGTTCAAGGCCAAGATAGGCGAAGTCTTATTCTGGTCTTAGTCTAGTGCAGGTTGGTCACTCTTGGTATTAGTGATGGGACGATGTGGCTTACTTCCAGCTCGAGTGTCCTATTACCTGTTTAGGAAATAACCTCTACGAGGGTCTCGGCTCTGTAGACGGCCTACTGTTTGGATATATGGGCTAGAATCACAGAAGTCCTTTGTATAGCTTCAAATGATATGCTAGACCCTCTAGACTGGATAAGTAACACTGTGAGAATTCTTCAATCAATTCGTCCTCCATCACATTCTCTAATCCACAAAGACAACATGAGTGCACACGATAGTATCGTTATCTTGGGGTAGGTAGTTGACGCGAATCCTTCCAGGCTCCTTGGCAGTTTTTTGCTAACATCCATGCAAGAGCTGGCATTATCGGCCTTGATGTTGCTCTTGTCCTGGCAGAAAGAGGTTATGGCAAGTCCATTACAGTCATCGCCGAACATCTTCCCGGCGATACGGCACTGAACTATACTTCCCCCTGGTAAGCAACACCACATGACAACGTTGTAGTTGCTCCAACTAATCTCATGATAGGGCTGGCTGCAACTTCTCAGCTATCTCGGGTACAGATGCTAACGCCCTGAAATGGGACAAGGCAGGATATTTCCATCTGAGCAAGCTTGCTTCTGAGAGGCCAGAGCAGTCATATGTCAAACGAACTCCTTCGACAGAGCTTTGGGACGATAATGTTCCCCGTGACAAGATCCAGGCAATGTCTGAGTATCTAGAAGACGTAAGTTCGGGTCGAACAAGAGAGACCCTCGGCTGATTTCCTGCAGTTCGAAGAACTGCCAACCTCTGAACTGCCCGAGGGCGTCAAGTTTGCTGTCTCATTCACTACCCTCACTGTCAATGCGCCCAAGCATCTTCTCTATCTCTATGAGAGATTGAAGAAGGACTATGGTGTTCGCTTTGTTCGCCAGAAGCTTCCGGATCTTCAGACTGCATTCTTTAGCCAGTTTACCCAGATTGTGTTCAATTGTACTGGCAACGCTGCGCGAAAGTTGCCAGGAGTTGAGGACCCCAAGTGCTACCCCACTAGAGGACAGGTCCTGTTGACTCATGCGCCCGAGGTTCACACGAACATCATGAGACATGGTAAAGATTACGAGACATACGTCATCCCCCGCCCGTTTTCCAAGGGACACGTAATTCTCGGAGGTTACATGCAAAAGAGGAACGGGTAAGCTGACCGTGTCTTGTGCATTGCACTGTGGACTAACATGTCTTCTCAGTGACGGGGCCACCTACTCGTACGAAACAGAGTCCATCTTGGAGCGCACCAAGGAACTCAGTGACGAAGTCAGGAGTGGAAGTCTAGATGTTCTCGCAGCTTTCTCTGGCCTTCGTCCGTCCCGCGAAGGTGGCGCTCGAGTCGAGAGAGAGGATTTGGTTGTTGCAGGACAAAATCGCACAGTGGTTCACAACTATGGTGCTGGTGGCACTGGGTTCCAAGCCGGTTATGGCATGGCCCTAGATGCCGTTCGTGCCGCTGAGCCTGTTTCGTCCAAGCTTCAGACCGAACTCAAGTCGAAGCTGTGATGCATTGTGCGAGCAGATTACGGTATCTGAGCGAGGTTTGATGGAGACACTGAGGAAAGATCACTAGATGCATGTGGAAGAGCCAGTATTTAATAAACAAGGAAAGATGTACTATTGTATTGACAGTATTGCTTCTAAGCTATGTTCTTTTCATGCACGAAATATGATAATATCTAAATACAAAAAACAAGTCATGTAGGTCGTAAGGTACTCAGTCTAAGTAAAGTTATGCAGTCATTGCTCTCATGGTCCCAGACACTTTGAGATGCATGTAGGTACAGAGGAAATCTTCTTAAAAGAAGTAAACAGGATAAGGAGGCTTCTCGTAGCCAGCCTTGGAAGTAGTAGTGTGCTCAGCCGCCTTGGGGGTCGAGACAGGAGTCTCGTAGAGCTTGGTGGTAGAGCGGATGAAGGTGGTGACCGTTCCGTTGCCAGGAGCGTGGTGGGTGGGGATGGTAGGAGGATAACTCTTGGAAGGAGAGGGGTAGACGTGAGAGTTCCACGGCTTGATCTGGGTGGTGGCTGTAGCGTAGACGGTGGAAGTGACGGCGCCGACAGGGCAGTTGGTGACTGTAGGAGGGCAAGCGGTGATGGTGTAGTACTTGGTGGTGTAAAGAGTGGATGTCGAGTTACCAGGAGGGTAGTAAGTAGCACCAGGGCCGGGAATGACCTGAGTCTTGGTGACAGGGCAGAGAGTAGTTGAGAGAGCGATGGTCTCAGTGGTGACGTGGGGAGTACCAGGGCAGTTGGCAACATGAGGAGCGCAAGCAGTGACGGTTCGGATGTTGGTCGTGTAGACGGTGGAGGTAGACCAGCCGGTTGTGACGACCTGCTGAGTAGGGACGGGGTAGGTCTGGTGGGGCTGACTGGGTTGCTCGTTGCCAGCGGGCTTGGTGGGATGAGACTGCTCCTCGGTAACTGGGCAGACAGTGGTGGAGATGGCGATGGTCTCGGTGGTGACGTGAGGAGTGGGGGTTTCACAGTTGGGGTGCTCGGGGCCGCAGGTAGTCACTGTTCGGACACTGGTGGTGTAGACGGTAGAGGTAGACCAGGCGGTAGTCTTGGCTGGCTGAGGCTGAGTTTGCTGATGCTCGGTTGGCTTGGGCTGAGTTTCGTGCTGCTCAGTCACGGGGCAGACGGTAGTAGAAACAGCGATAGTCTCAGTAGTGACATGAGGAGTAGGTGTCTCGCAGTTAGGGAACTCGGGACCACAAGTAGTGACGGTGCGAACACTGGTGGTGTAGATAGTGGAGGTTGACCAGCCAGTAGTCTTGGCAGGCTGAGTATACTGAGTCTCAGTAGGCTTGGGTTGAGTGGGCTTGGGCTGCGTGGGCTTAGGCTGAGTCTGGTGCTGCTCAGTAACAGGGCAAACAGTGGTAGAGATAGCGACAGTCTCAGTAGTGACATGGGGAGTAGGTGTCTCGCAGTTGGGAAACTCAGGAGCGCAAGATGTAACAGTGCGGATGGTAGTTGTGTAGACAGTTGAAGTAGTCCACTCAGTAGTAGAAGCGGGCTGAGTAGATCCAGCCTCAGACTGGCCACCAGTGGCGGGCTTGGTAGAGTGTCCTTCAGTAGCAGGCTTCGTCTCTGTGGCAGGCTTTGTCTCAACAGGCTTGGTCTCAGTGGGAACTGCGTAAGTTGGCTTGGTCTCAGTGGCGGGCTGGGTCTCCACTGGCTTGGTGGACTGTCCCTCGGTAGCAGGCTTGGTCTCGACAGGCTTGGTGGGGGCAGGCTTCGTCTCTGTGTGGTGCTCTTCCGTGACGGGGCAGACGGTGGTGGAGATGGCGATAGTCTCAGTCGTGACATGCTTACCGTTAGGGCAGTCAGGAACATCGGGAGCACAAGAGGTCACGGTGCGGATGTTGGTGGTGTAGACAGTCGAGGTAGTCCACTCAGTGGTGCTAGCAGGCTTAGTCTCAGTAGCGGGCTTAGTCTCAGCAGGCTTGGTCTCGGTAGGATGCTCCTCGCCGCCAGTGGTAGCAGGCTTGGTCTCAGTCTCAGTGACAGGCTTAGTCTCACCGGGGACTGGGTAAGTGGGCTTGGTCTCAACAGGCTTGGTCTCAGTAGCAGGCTTAGTCTCTGTCTCGGTAGCAGGCTTGGTTGATCCCTCATGGTGAGTAACAGGCTTAGTAGACTCCTCAGTCTCAGTAGTAGGAAGAGTAGACTGGCCCTCTGTCTCAGTAGCCTGGGTAGGAACGGGGTAGGTGGGCGATTCCTTGGTGACAGTAGCAGGCTTGGTAGATCCGGCTTCAGTCACAGGGCAGACGGTAGTAGAGATAGCAATAGTCTCGGTTGTGACATGCTTGCCGTTGGGACAGTCGGGGATCTCAGGAGGGCAAGATGTGATGGTGCGGATGTTGGTTGTGTAGACAGTTGAGGTAGTCCACTGGCTGGTCTGCTGAGTGTTGGGCTTGGTTTCGGAGGGGACAGTCTCGGTCTTGGCTGTGGCTGTCTCGGTGGTAGCCTTGGGAGGAGGATAGGTACCGGTGGAAGTTCCAACAGCGGGCTTGGTGGACTCAGCGGGGAGGGACTCAGTCTCAGTCTTAACACCGGTCTCAGTAGTGTCAGTACCCTTGGGGGGAGGGTAGACACCAGTTGAGGTACCAACAGCAGGCTTGGTGGTCTCAGTCTCAGCGGGAACAGTCTCAGTCTCAGTGGATGTACCGACGGCAGGCTTGGTAGTCTCGGTCTCTGCAGGAAGAGTCTCAGTCTCGGCTCCCTCAGTGGTACCAGTGGTGACCTTGGGAGGAGGGTAAGCACCAGTGACAGGAGAAGTCTCAGTCTCCTCAGGAACAGACTCAGTCTTGGTCTCGGTCTCGCCAGGCTTGGAGACAGTAGCAGTCTCGGTACCTTGGTGCTCAGTCTCGGTAGAGCCGGGAACAGGGTAAGTGGGAGTACCAGTCTCGCCATGCTCAGTCACAGGCTTGGTCTCAGTGACGGGGCAGATGGTAGTAGACACAGCGATGGTCTTGGTAGTGACATGTTGACCGTTGGGGCAGTCGGGAACCTCGGGAGGGCAAGAGGTGACAGTGTACACATTGGTAGTGTAGACAGTCGAGGTAGTCCACTGTGTAGTAGAAGCACTGCCAGTTGCGGTCTCAACGCCAGTGTCGGTAGTGTCGGTACCCTTGGGAGGGGGGTAGACACCGGTTGAGGTGCCGACAGCAGGCTTGGTGGTCTCGGAAGCAGCCGTGGTACCCTCGCTACTGGGCTGGGTTGTGGGGGTGCCCTCGGGTGGAGGATACGCGTCAGTAGAGCTGCCAACATCGGTAGATCCCTGCTGGGTTACATCGGTACTCTCGGGAGGAGTGTACTCGGAAGTGGGGGTAAGAGCCTCAGTTGTATCCTTGCCGGGCTTGGTGGTCTCGGTGTTGGCGGGAGGAGGGTACAGATCAGTTGAGGTCTTGCCCTCAGCAGTAGTCTCAACGGCAGTAGTCTCGACAGCAGTAGACTCATGCTCAGACTCAGATGGGGTGTTCTCAGGAGGAGGGTAAGCACCGGTAGGGGTAGACTCTTCAGATGTAACAACGGCAGAAGTCTCTTGCTCAGTCTCTGTCTTTTGAGTGTTCACAGGAGGGGGGTAGGCTCCAGTTGGTGTTGAAGCTTCAGTAGTATCTTGTCCAGGCTGAGTGTTGGCAGGAGGAGGATAAGCGTTGGAAGGAGTCTCGACAACAGAAGTATCTTCAACAGGCTTGCTTGCACTCTCAGTAGCTGCAGACTCGGGAGGTGCATAGTTGGTAGTTTCTTGATGCTCGGAAGTAGCGACAGTGGGAACTGAAGGGGGAGCATAAGGAGAAGTCTCTTGCTCAGTAGGCTCAGTATTGGCAGACTGAGCGGGAGGAGGATAAAGATCAGTAGAGACGGCCGGGGCTTGATAGGCCGAAGTTGTGATGGCCGGAGGAAGATCGTAGTTTCCTCTTGGCTGGCGACGATAGTCTAAAACACCAGCGTTGGCCGCGCTAAAGGCAACGGCGCTGAGTAGAAAGAAGCTTCTCATCTTTCCTTTTGTTTCAACGAATGTTGTGAAGCGAATGAAATGTTTTGTTTATGTGAAACGAAAGTGAATTGATACTGAAGAAAAGGAATGTGTAACGAGCTGGTGTAGCATGAATCTTTATACAAATCTCGAGATCGGCTGTCAGGTTACATCTTCAGCTGAAGATGGGTTTGCTTCTCCACGTAAGTGGTACGCGCACATCAATCATGATCCAAGTTTGGAAGCGTCTCCATGGCCATGCAGGCCCGAAGTGGGAATACGGGCGCTTGCATACAAAACATAGCAGGGTGAGGTCATTCCGGATCTACCTAATGGGGAGTGACAGGGCGGTCAGTCAACGGGTGGTTGGATGAGAGAGTCGTTTGGGCAGAAAGAAAGCGCGGGTAGTGGATAGTGGATCAGAGACAAGGTTGTTTGAACATCCGAGATACCCAGGCGGCTCGCTTCCAAAAATACAGTTGAGGGAGAAACGCTGTGCCGATCATTTCATGATGTGGCCTGGTCGTCACGGCGTAAAAAACGGAGTTGCAGTACCTAGTTCAGGTGGACATGGGGTCGAATTGACCTTGGATAGGCCGCTGAATAAAGAAAACGGTTCTAACAATAACCAAAATGTCTTGGTTGAATCAAGGTTCACGCACACGAAACATGCACAAGGCCTCGTGTTTGCGACGCACGACTCCGCTGGGGTGCTGTGATGTTGTGCTATTATTGGATCACTCTGGCCACTCAGCGGCTATAAACAGAAAAATCCAAGGTCCTGCACGTCTTGGTTGGTTGGGACGATCCCTGCAAGCTAAGAGGGCCCTGATCGAATCATCCAGTCGTTGTCTGCCAAGCAAGGTCTAGATTAGATTTCTCGCACTAGAAAATAATTCAACCACGTCAATTGACGATTCTGTGCATTAGTTCTTTACGAGATGGAACTGAGAATAGAATATTCTGAGTTTTTTTCTATTTTTTATTTCTTGCAGAAGAAGCGGGACGTGATTTTCTTTTCTTAGATAGATGCCCTACCAACAACCTCGTGTTCGGCATTATTTATCCAGCGGGGAAAGACAACAGAGAATAGATCTAGAAGAGAGAAAAGGGCATCGAGATTGAAGCGCTGGGGAATAATTGCAAGACATTGATCGTCATTGATGCTCGAAGCAAATCTTGACCTGAAACAAATGGCTTAGGATCTGGCGCTTATTCAACCCGTTTGTTAGCGCGCGGTTCGTTGGGGTTTGGGGACGCTACTGAGGCCACTGGAATGCGGGCAGCGGATGAACCGTCGACGCCACGTCGCACCATCAGCTCGTCTACCCTGGACATAACGAGGAAATGGTATTTTCATTGAAACATTGTTTCGAACTCTATCGTATCAATTGACTTTCATTACTACGAGCAATTATAAACAGTAGATATAGAATAGAAAATGTAAATAGTTATATAGTGTGTATTACGCGATTTTGGCTAATGTTAAGCCCAGTACAGAGAGCAATAGGTATCGCAATTCTCAAAGGATTGAGAAAAGAAACAAGCATATCTATATCAAAGACCAGAACTTTCAAATTAGACCAACGCGCATATTGAAGAAAAAAGAATTTTAATTACAGACCTGCTATAGTAATGCAATTTATAAAATACCTACTAATAAATATAACTTTATCTTTAATATTGTTAAATGCAACCTCTATCTGACTTTGAACATGAGATTAAATATATCTAGCTGGCTTCCAGAATTCCTATATATTCTCTTCTATCTGTTTCTCTCATAGCTTTTGCTTGCAACATATCGCCTTACCATCTATTTCCCATTTCAAAAGCCGCTCCAAGTTCCCCCTTTCTATCCCAGCAGTCTTCGCGTCTTGAGGTACAGTATGTTAACTAAAAACTCGGTGTTTTAGACCGAACAATCTTGTATCGATAACGACTGATAAGCGGCTCGTATCCACACCAATCAACTGTCTCTTTTTGAGGCCATAGCGTGAAAAAAGCTTTGACATGCCCTCGGGCCGCTTTGTTACTGGAATGATCGGCAATTCCCGGTCCCGGGTCACTCTCATCTGGGCCCTGCCCTTCACCTGTTCATTCATAAACGTAGACTAGTCCATGAATACGCCACGGGCAGCCACGATGAGCCGGTGCGCCTAATATCGCGCTGTCCAACATGTCTTTTATTGGGATTAAAGATAAATCCCAGAATGGTATCCCGAAACTATATAGTGAATCGCCCCCCAGCAATCCTGATCTCGCTGAGTCTGAATTTATCTCTTGCTCTAGCCTCTAGGACATTCGAAATAGAACGAGAGAGACACATAGTAGCTTCTACCGAAGCTGCTTTAGTTTCTCACTATAATGAACTATGTCTGAATATAGGTAGCGATATTTCTATCTGCAGAAGCTGCCAGTACTAAGCTGCTATAACCGTTCCCTATTACTTTTAGGTCTGCTTTTAATTCAGGATTAATTAATACTTAAAGGCTATTTATAAAAGATACTTTATATAATAGTTATAGTATCCTAATTATCTTTTCTCTCTCTTAGTCTTTTTACTAGATAGCGATCTAAGTGTATCTATCCTATTCTCTTTATATATATAGCGCCATTAACATTTGTTAAAGTTAACACAAGACCAAATCCCCCATTGCTAGCATCTTTCTTACCTTCTGCTTCTTCGCCCTCGACCTCATGTGGGGAAACAGGCGACACTTTCCTATAATTATCCAGAAGCAGCACTTTAATATCCTTATCTGGCCATCGGTTACAGGCATTTGGGTCGGTATTATCGAACGTCACCTGCATGTCATTACCCTCGACACTATACTTTGTGTAGCATCGTGGGGACGAACGGATTCCTGCTCGCTTGAGTTCTTCATCGCCATCACTGCCTGGGATTATACTTTCTGTTAGAGGCACAAGTGGCTCCCGCACGCGCACCGATGCACTCTTGAGTTGCCCGTATTGATTGTCAGGGTTTGTCAATTCAAGCTGCCAGTCCTCGACAGTAGCGATTGATCTCTAATTTGCCTTTATATTAAGCGGTGTTGAAGTCTATTAATTTCTTTAATATTATTTAATTAAATTAAAATTTAAAGTAAAATAAGTAAGAGGTAATATTATTAAGAAAGAAAATTTAAATTTTAATATAACTATACTATAGAAATAAATATAATCCAGTTTAATAAAGGTACCCCAATCTAGCTAAGGTATCTATCTCAGTCGCTGCCCTGATATTACGACTCGTGCCCATAATAGCGCTATAAGGCCTCTATAAGCAGCTGTACATACTACTATAATTACTATAATAGCAGTTATAGCCCGATCTTTTGCCCTGTAGCGTAGTAGTTAGGTGTGACCGTTACACCTGACATGTTCCCTTAATTCCGGTATCATAACCATTATAAGGCCCAATAACTCGCTGTTCAATACTGCCAGTCTTATAACACAAGTTGAACTTATAATCGAATGTAAAGGCTTCGCAATTGTCATCTGCATTGCAAAGATCTGCGCAAGCTTGGGTATCGTCGGCGCTAACATAATCCACTAGGCCATAGATGACCACATCGCATTGAATCTTGATGGTGCCAACGCATTGATCCGGGATGCACCTAGGCGCCGCTGAAGTTGTGGTCGTGGCTGCTTCGGTGGTAGTTGTATCTGCGATGGACGTGACGAAGGTAGTGGTGCTTGACTCGACAATGGCTGCAGAGGTAGTTTCAGAGGCAGCCTCTGTACTCGTCTCTGTAAGGCTAGTCTCGACTGTGATGTCGGTCGAAGTAGATTCAGCCAGAGTGGTTGAGGGCGCGGTAGTGGTTGACTCAAGCAATGTCGTCTCGGTGGTGGAGGCTGCAGAGCTGGTTTCGGAGAGCGAGAGCGAGATGGAGCTTCCAGGCTTGCATGGTCCCGCAGATGCAATGCTAGCGACTGCACAGAACACAAAAACAGAATGAAGGGTAACCATGATGAGCGGTTTTTAAGTAACGAGTGGACGTCAGATAGATTGACTGGGCAAGAGTAAAGGTTGTCAAAACAACAGAGAAATTAGGGAATGGGAAGAGACTCCTTATCTGGGTTTTTTAACCTGCGTTTCTAAACAATATGCGATTTCCCATATTGACGCTAGTACTGAGCAATTTTAATAAAACCAATAGTCTCATTATTAGTAAACCTAACATAGAGTAGTCTTGTGCTAAACTATATTAGTAAAATCAATAGTCTTATATGAAACCCACATAACCCCTAACTCAGTTTTTAGTTAGTTCTCTAGCTACGCTGGCCTCGGGGGGAAAAAATACACGACCCATGATCGGTTTGGCTTACACCAAAATTCGCTGGCGATCCACCGATTTGGGGGTCGTGTTCTATTTCCCCCCCTATGCTGGATTTTCCCTGCCAAGCCATTGCTTGTACCATCACGCTTGACCATAGTCCTGCCATGTCCTCATCTTTAAGCAGACAGCCTAAGGTACTGGCGATGCCACTCAGAGCCGGGATCCCATCTGTAAGTTGGGTCAAATACTGTTCACCGTAGTTCTAGAGTACTAAAGACCAAATCTGGAGAGCTTTGCGAGCGGAACACCGATCATAAATACCGGGCTCAAGTTGCAGTAACGCCTGTTTGGCTTACACCCATCCTCGTCCACTATGCCGTGCCGACATTCGAAATACAGCTGCTCCGTATTGTAATGAATTGTACGTGCAGCCAAGAATCGCTCCTGTAGTGCCCACGCACGCTTCGCAAGGGGCTCGTTGGAAAACTCCGAATTGTGATACAGAAACTCGTCGCTATTCGCACCAAGTTGCACGTGAACGAGTCCAATACCTGGTCTCAAAATGTCACTGATAAGCTATGGATGACGGCGGCCTATAAGGTTAAGCTTTAGGCTGCAAACACTGATAAGCGACGGACGAAGGTGGAAACAACCCCCGGCCGAGTCTCTAGCATGATTCGCCGCAATTACCACGTATGCATTGGAGTACACCCCCATCATTCGAGACGACTCACGCGCCCAGTCTTCAGGGTTATCTTGAATGATATAAAGATTGTCTATCCAAAGATATGGGATACCAAGATATCTTGATACCGCGACCGCGTCTCGAAAAGTCTTGGGCAGGTCTGTAACGAATATACCAGACATATGTGCGTAACGCGAGGTTTGAGTTGTGGTCAACATTGGTACTTTACCCCAGCAGTGCGATAAAGATGCATACTTTCCCATAGTGCCCGTATCAGGCTCGATCAGCTTGATGCTGCCGTCACCAATGCAGCCAACAGCGAGTACACGTGAGGGTAGAGTTGTATGACCATGATAGCACTTCTCATGGTTGTCCTTCCAGCAGTAACATTTACTTCAATTCATGGCAGAACGGTTTCGAATCGGATCTATTCAGGGAATGGTACGACAACGGCGCGCCGGTTTTAAACGTCCTCGACGCGCTTGCTTCAATTCAGCTCTCGACTCCGCAGCAGATGTGGGCTCATAAAGAAGAAAAGCCTTACATCTCCATTTACAACCACACGTTCGATTTTGCACGGTCCATGGAATTGGAAATCAAGAAAAGTCTTTTTCAGTCGACAATGTCTGGTGAAGTAGGAGGTCGGGACCTTCCAGGGCTGGTATCTTCAGCCTTGCAAAATAATGACACTGACCTTTTGGAAAAGATCTACTGTCGTGAAGGGTCAAAACAAATAGCGTTATTTGATCAACAGCGCCTAGGCTTTTCGGTCTTGCATACTGCTATTGAACACTCATCTTTGGATTGTCTCGGGCTTTTACTCCAATGGGGATTTGACCGTAACGCTCGAGACGAACACGGTATGGCGCCAATACACATGTGTTTCGAGGATCAGGGTTTCGAGGATGGCCGTGAGCTTTTGCGTGTTCTGTTGAATCATGGCTCAGACTCTCTCGCACTAGACGACAGAGGAGAAACAGTGTGGCACATTTACGCTCGCCGAGGCATGTATCGGATGCTTAAACTGATAATCCAGCAAAAGGAGCGGGACTCTGCCCTTCTTGCAGTTTCTGAATCGGGTAATACTCCAGTCTGCAGTGCCTTGATTCAGGGGAACCGAGAAACGATAGAGTTGCTACTTGAGTTTTGCGACAAAAGGGAACATTGGAAGTGCTCGGAGCCTATTTACCTCGCCGCAGCGAAGCTTGGATCTGCTAAGGTTGTTCAGAAGCTTATCGACATCGGGGTTCAGTACGCCGAGATTGACGAGAATCAGGGAAATCCTCTGTACTGGATCAGCCTGACGTCCGATCTCAAGTGCATAGAGATTCTGAAAAGTCTCTTCTCTTCAGAGCAGCGCCGGAAGTCGGATTCACGAACGCCGTTTGAGTCGCTATTGTTGAGGACGGTCACGGGAGCCGGGACTCGGCTACAAGACGTGAGCGTTACCATGGCCCTCCTTCCAGATGGCTTAGTGTCCAGTTCCAAGCGCTTTGGTACCCTCTGGCCCTTTCTGTGGGCCGAGGTGGTTCCCAAAGCAATGTCATATGGCTCAATGTCACATAGCTACGCGCTTGAACCGTTCGACGAGCTCTTCACTCGGTTACTGGAAAAGGGAATTGCAAGAGCCTACGAAGAACATTTTGCCGGGTCCGCCTTGGAACCCCTTGCACAAGGCGTCTGTCGTGATACAATTTCAAGACTCAGTCAGTTGACTTGCAAGGATCCAGCGCAGAATCCTTTGCCAGCCTACTCTGGTTGGAACTGGCTTTCCCAAACGTTTCATGTTGTTGCAGATGATGCAAAGCATACAGAAAAGTTAGCTAAAAATACTATCATGGCGCAGCTCCTATGCGAAGCCATCATTCATGGAGATGGGAATTTGGCGAAACTGCTTCTGAAACTTGGTGTCGACTGCCATATCCAAGCTGGTAGGATAACATCCTTCGAGCTTGCATGCTTGCCTGGGGTGTCCAAAGATGAGCAGCTTCTGAAACATTTCCTGGAGCACGCAACGCCTGAACATTTGGCTAGAGTCGGCTCCTTCAATGGTCTCGGTCCTTTTCACCTTACCGCTGGCTTACGTAGATGGAGAAAAGGCCAGCATGCATCTATTGGCAAGCTCAAATGTCTCTTAGCTACTGGTGCTAGCCCAAACTTACCTTCATCTTATTTAACGCCCATGACTTATCATATTGATCGTTGTTCCATGGAAACCGCAGAAGCTCTCCTTGATGCTGGAGCTGACCCATGGCTTCGAGTTCCAGAGTCATGGGATAGTGTTTTGATGGCAATTCAGTCACGGAATTGGACGTTCTTGACAAACGTGTCCGATCACTCCACCTTGAAGAAACATCCACCAAAATGGAACCAAACCTGGACCCTATCTCACCGTTCTGGAAATTGGTTCAAGACTGCAAATGCGCTTCATTTAGCCGCCCTCGTTGGTGAAGTCGACGCCGTTGAGTTTTACTTATACAAGCATCTCTTGACAGACTTGAACGCTAGGGACTCAGATGGACAAACACCAATGCACTATGCTGTCTGGGCTGGACTTGCGTTTGTCATTCAGTACTTGGTGAAGCGTGGTGGAAATGTTCATGCTGAATCCAGATCAGGGATGACTCGACTGAACTTAGCTGTCCGGGAAGGGCACAGTGAGTGTGTAAGAGTCCTTCTGAACCACGGTGCTGGACAGAAGATGGGTCATATTGACAAGTCCCCTTTTGTTCTCGCTTCATGCTCTGGAAATGAAGCCATCCTTAACCTCCTGAAAGACCACCTCGGAGACCCCAGTGCGAATGGATTGATCATGAATCATAAGGCTGGGCGGAACATGGAATTTTCTCTAATCCTGGCCATAAGACATGGCAATATTGACGCATGTCAGAAGCTTCTTGATCTCGGCTGTCCTATAGATATCGAGATAACGCCTGGGAAGGCATCTGGGTTGAAACATCCGGCAACACCTTTGATGTTTGCAATCTGTGAGCGAGCAAGTATTGGTGTTGTCAAATGGCTGCTCGATAACAACGCTAATGTTTCCGCTGTATCCTGGAACAAGCTCAAAAGATTTTACTGCACTGGATTTAGTGCGGCTTTGAGGGATTCGACGTTCAATCCTCTCATTCCGGTACTAGTCACGAAGTATCTCGAGATAAGGGGGAACTTCCTAGCTCGGCATGGAAATTATCTCTCTATTGCTTTGGCCTCCCGAAACACACAAGGGTTAATAATTCTGGTTGAGGAAATCAGCAAGAACCACAAAAATATGTAAGCAGATCTAACCAGGCTACTGGAAACGCCACTAACGACCAAATTGTCAGTGATATCTACATCATGCTCAATCCCACACTTGATGAGATGAACCCGCAAGGCCCACTTCATATAGGGGCCGGGCTCAACGATTTGGCAGCTTTCAAAGCCCTGGTTGCTGCTGGCGCAGATATTAAACAGCTAGACTACGATGGCTCATCACCGCTCCACATTGCGGGCGCAGCCAATGCCTTGTCGGTCGCTGAGTACCTTATATCCTCAGGCGCTCGCCTGAATCCGATCTCACATCATTCCTATACTCCCACTCTTAATGCATGCCTGACTGCCTCATCCCAAGTCATCCAACTCCTCTTAAAAAGCGGCGCAAACTGCCAGACCGTAAATGACTCCGGAGACAACTGTCTGACACTCTTTGTCACTCCTAGACCTATCAGAAGAGGCCCACCAAATATCAACGCGTTCAAGGCATTACTTGATGCTGGAATCGACCTTTTTGCGAGAAACAAATTCGGCCTCGATACAGCTCGCTCGATTTTGATTTCAAATACACCAATTTATCTTTATTACATATTGAGCCATTTCCCACGGTTTTTCAACAATAGATCACTATCGTGGGCAGCCATCGAACTCCCTTGGGGGGCAAGTACGCACAGCTTATGCGCTTTATTGCTATCAAGAAAGCTGCGACTTATTCGCCCTCTTCTGAACAATAAGGAATTTCTCGATCTCTCCGATCTCTCAACCCCTGGAAGACATACATTCTTTTGCTCAAGTGTAATATCTGGCTCCGTTGAAGCTGTACGAAATTTCCTCAAGTATGGTGCCAATATCCAGCATGCTTGTCCTGATCACGGAACGCCCCTCATCGCCGCATTGACCTATCGTCGCTTTGATATTGTCAAGATTCTTTTTCTCAGCGGCGTAGAGGCCTTTACAGATGGCTTCCTGGCAGCCGGGGTCCCCTTTATGGAATGCGATGAGAAGATCAAAAGGTGGTTACTGGTAGAACGGCACTATGAACAGCCTAAGCTTGAAGAGATGAGATGGAATACGAACCATGTTCCTACAAAAGGAGCTGGGGTTGTTATTGCTGAAGTTGAGATGGAATGGCATTGGAGGAAAAATCATGGTGAATCTATATTAGCATATGCGACACGCCGCCAGAGGATAGTGCAAGCACTAAGAGGAACGCAAGTAAAGTTAGTAAGGATAATTTAGAATACGGATTAAGCACTTTTCTTTTTAAGATAAAAGCATAACGAGAGGCCTTTAAGCTTAATATATGTTTTGATTACCTGTTAGTCTTTAGTGCTTAATGCTAGCTAATACCCTAAAAGGTAATGCCTAGGAAGTAAGGTTAGTTATTAAAAGATAGGTTCTATAAAATACAGTAATAATTACGTAGATCTTGACCCTGGATACATTGTGTTATATAGCTCAAGTATAAGATTATCTAAACACAAGACAACCCTCACTCATAAGTCAGCAATGACCCAGCCCTGCTAGGTTATAGAAAACACTATATAAATTAAAAACTATATTATTAAAGCTCGGGGAGCTACTTGAGTATTAAAGACAGGAACGGGGGACAAAGTCAGGGACTTAATAGACAGAGAGAACTATAACTTTTTTTCTAAACTATAAATATTTCAAGCAGCACAAGTGCTGGTTAAGGGTTCAAGACACTCTTTTGGAATAGGGTTAAAGGGAGACCGGAAGGTCCGCGGGAAAAAGCTCGATTTTGACTTTATGATATTGGAGACTGCTGGAATGCCGTTTCACTTGCCGAGGTTACCTGTAATCCCTGCAGCTGTCTTGTCATAGAGTTTCAAGATCTACGCTTTTAGGAACAAATAAAAAGTGATTACACAGGCAGTCAAGCTATAGGAATAAGCTTTAGGCAGCTGCTAAAGGAGATAACATCTACGGCAGTTGGAAGAAAAGATATTCCGTCTAGCAGTTAGCTAAAGCTTATTTGCAAGTCTCGTATATCGACCAATAGTTTAGCTGACGCCAAAATCCGTCGATTATTTTATCAATCAGCGGTAGTCAAACTGGAGATGTATTGGGTTCTCCCTGGAGCTGATTTTGAGGCTAGCTAGCTCGCCCGGAACGTTATGAGCCAATGATCGACAAAGCCCCAACTGGCATCTCAACGATCTCGGGCCGAGACATCATTATGGTTTTTAAACTAATGAAGATCAACTGGTTTCGGCTTGGGGCCGACCTTCTAAAATAAGCCTAGAAGACGTTGTAGTGAAATGAAGCTTGGGGCTTCGTAGATGTTATTCCTCTTCTGTTCATGAGCACAGTGGGGTTTAGGAGGCTTGAATGGGGTAGACCGTCTTGGTTCGTGGAGAAATGTCAAGCTTTGCAAAGGCCATGGATCCAGAAGTCAACGCGCGTTTCGGGTCTCGAGTCAAAATATGCACAGATGTTGCACATGTTTTCCGCAGGCACTATAGTCGGAACAAGATCTGCAGTTAGCGGGATCAACGCCACAAGAACATGTGAACTCAGCCTATCTTTCCTGTACACACTCAAGTGATGCAGAAATATCCTCAAAATTGGCAGTGAGGGTGATGAGATAATATAACAGTCCTGCTATTAAGTATACAACTTGAAATGGTCAGATTACCTAGTTGCTATCAAATGCCGTCTAATATGCAAAGATGCCTTCATTCAACGAGTTATCGCTTGCTGTACGCGCCCTAAACCCAGTTATGTTCCTGTCCAGATTGGCCCGTCTAAAAATTGACCCCGAAACCGTTCGTTTTTTTGATCATTTAAATAAAATTCCTCTGCTCCATTAATCAGAGTCCTCGTCCTCAGGCATCGGCCTAGGATTGCAGATGATTGTGCCAGCCCACGTAATCAGAGTTCCCTCCTTTCCATCTCGCGTATCAATGCTCTCGCAGCCGCCCTGCGCAGCAACGGGTGCTTGTGACAGGACCTTTGCGAAGAAATTCTTGGCTGCTTCGTTGCCTGCTTCCCACTGGAAAACGACGCACTCGTCCATCTTGTCACCGGGTTCTTTGCCGGGTGCGACGACGGGGACTAATTGGTGTCGTCGTCGCTCACGAGGTAGATCCCACCATGAATCCATGACTGCCTTCCAGAGTTCAGTGCCGTATCCCTGGCGGCAGAATTCTGGTTTGATGAGAAACTCGGCTTCTGGCCAACCAGAGATGGAGGAGGACATGGCTAGGACGTCTGGCAGGCCACCCTCGCCTATGAGCTCATTGGTCGATTTAAGAAAGGCGCCAAACCACCAGTGGCTTTGGTCGTCCTGGACCAGAGAATGGAGTTGTCGTTCTGTCTCGTCTTTGTCTTTGGTTGCACGCCCACGAGCCGTTGAGTGGTTCTGAATGTCAGGACGTTTGCGAAGCTCATGGAATGCATCCAGGTCGTTCATTGTGAAGGGTCGAATGATCAGACGCTCAGTCTCCAGTGGGGGCCGGTCCGAAGCGCTGGGAATGGGTCGCTCCGGCAGTGTGACTGAGTAGCTGAACCATGGCGTCATGCCAAGGTTCTCAAAATCCTCAGCAGTGAAATAGACCTCGAGAGGGGGAAGGGCGTGATGAAGAGGTGCCATCGTTTCCATAATGAAGCTGTCTGTTGTCAAAGAAATTCTAAGACACTAGTGGGATGTGAACAGGTATTTGGGTGAATTTCTGGAAATTGGAGTAGAAAGTGAAACTAGTCTAGCAGGAGGGAATAAATAAGTGCCGAGGCCTGTCTCTTTTTAAGAAGGATTGTCTCGTATGATGTCGATTTGGTTAGCGACGTTACATAGCAACACGGCAGAAATGAGCGGTGAGTTGTTCTCGCATTTCACTCCAGACAGGCCCCCCAAGAAACGCGAAAAAAGCCGTTGGACTTGAAGAAAAAGCAAGCCCCAGGGATTGGGAGGATTTCACATGCAGGGATTGCGCGTCGGTTAAGCAAACATGTTCCTGTAGCTAGGGTCCTTTCCCCTCCCAGTGGATTGCGTACCTCGCAAATAACAAAATACAACATGACTCCACTAAGGATTCTGCGGTGTTTGATTTGTCTCGTTCTTTTTTGCACAGTGAGACACGCCAGAAAGAGAGACCTCCTGAAACTGGAGACAGAGAGGGTAGGATTGACTGCCGAGACTACAGTTTGTTTGGGTTTGGGGCGAGCATGCATGCAAGGTCGAGAGAACGACGCTAGCGTAGCACTCGGGCCCCTGACACGTATTGAGGTCAAGTCGCTGGCGTGTTTGGCAGGACAAGGTTCAGCACCGGGTATTTCTGGTGGACAGCGTTGCAGCTGTTGGTTGTAATGGCGTTGGGGCCCATGCATATCTTTACTGCAAACTGCAAAAACACAGACCGGAATACAGTGCCGTTTTGCCAGTGCTGAGTCTGGGATACTGAGGCGTTGATCACGATGGCTCTGATAGGTGCCGTGTCTCAGTTTGAGTCAACAGAGACAGTGGTTATTGGTTGCATGAATCAGCTGATGTCAAAGCACTGCGATGCGAGATAGTGAATCGGCTCATTGACGAACCAACAATACCCTACAGGCCTTGGTCATTGTACAGTATTTTCTCGTCTCTGAGAAAACAACATGTTATAGATCACATCAGCGGGTATGACAGATCCACAAGACAGAATGATCATCCAGCTATTCCTTGCGCGTTTCGCTCGGGAAAATTGCATCCGTAGACTGCATTTTCGTAAAGAAGGATGCGAGATGACAGCGCCTAACGAGACGGAGTATACACCACTTACTCGGTACGCCAAACCGCTACAGCTCCATATCCCCAAGATCATGGAAATAACACAGACTCACAAATACCCAAGCTTTCGGTAGACATAGGGCTGACACATATCTTATTCCACGCAATATCAACACTCGTCACGCTCGTATCGACTCTACCCGAGCAATAGCCCTAAAACCGTTCGGATCCGCAGAACCCTCCTCCTCCGCACACGGTCACATTTACAGTGCGGCCCCTGTCACCTCATCCCGCGCCGGCGCGTACCCATTTAGGGGGGAACAGGCTAGGTAACACCCGCCCCTAGAAGATTCCAGTAAAAAAAAATCAGTCAAGAAAACACGCGCATGACTGTGCCGCTCGCCCCGTGACACGCACCGGCCCCTTCTTCCCAATATCACGGTACCGGTAAGCTAAGCCTCTAGGGTTACCTGTCAACTGCAACGTCGTAAGTAATAAGACGTGAAACACGAGTGGGGGTTCTGTTAATACCGACGAGATATTGCTCGAGATTGTATTTTCTCACGTGTATTTGGCCGTATAGTCGTGTTCACACCGCAATCTACGAGTGAGAGACAACTATTCTCTATGCAACTCTGTCATGTATCATGGTAACGTCCCATTATAATATCCACTATATATCCCAGAACCAACAACCTTCGACCCAACAACCAACAACCAACATCAAGCAAATGGCAAATCCTGTCGATTAGACGAAGAATCACACCCCGCGAACCGCCACCAATCCTGATGCGTACGAACAAATAACCACCGAATAGCAACGAGCGCAATCCAAGGAAGAGGAGGAAAATCCGCCCAGATACCGCCCTCAAAGTCCTTATCGTGAAGAATCAACGCCAGCGGCAGAATCTCGTTACGATGAGACGCTTTCTTCATGGCGTTAGAGCCTATCTCGGCCCCTGTCTTCTCGAACCACGCTCCCCAGTCGCACTTGTCGGCGTACTTTTCCAATCCGACAAGGGTGTCGATTTCGTTGTGCAGATGTGTTGTGAGGGAGGGCATGAATGAGTCGATGATTTCTCTGACCTTGGAACCGTCGAGTTTCTCCTCGTCTTTGCGGATTTTCTCGATGTAGGTTGTGAAGCGATGCAGGCCCTCGTGGAATAAGCGATGCTCGTCGATGTTGGCGTCCATGAGGCCAGGTACGCCGGTGATTCTGTTGATTTCTGGAAAGATCTTTTCTTCTTCAATGTCGTGATGTTCTTGGATTTCTTGGCTCCATGCCCATGCGAAGCTGGCAAAGTCCACCTTGTCTTTTTGCGTTCCGTGCTCGGCGACGTTGATTGCCTGGAGATAGATGGCGTTGACGCCGCGTAAGAAGAGGTTATGGACGACAGCCATGCCTGCAGCGCATTTTCGAGCACCTTCAGCGCGCTTCTCAAGCTACGCGTAAGCCCGACTATTAGTGACTGTATAGTTATGGCCTGAGTGGCCTTTTCCAGGATTCATACCGAGTCGCCTGCTTTTGACGCGCGGATGAGCTCGAAGGGGCCGTCAACCCATGGCTTCTTGGGTTCTTCCATTGTAGTATGTCACGGCAGATCACGAAACAATAAGCCCAGCATTTCGAAACAGGACAG